GGGGGGGAGGGGGAGAGAGAGAGAGAAGAGAGAGAGAAGAAAGAGGGAGAGAGAAAGAAGAGAGGGGGAAGGAGGGAGAGGGGGAAAGGGAGGGAGGGAGGGAGAGGGAGAGAGAGAAAGAAGAGAGGAGAGAGAGAGGGGGAAGGGGGGAAGAGAGGGGGGAGGGGGGGGGAGAGAGAGAGGGAGGGAGGGGGGGAGGAAGGTAAGGGAGAGGAGGGGGGGGGTGATGGAGGGAGGTACAACAGTACCAGAGGTAGTTTTCACATTCTAAGTCAACAAGCAAGTCATTTTTATTTAATCCGCGTAAGTCTCGTCTAATGAAGAGAAGGTCTAGGCTAGGGGGGGTGACATGAGAGCATCTTCCAACATTTGAGGGGCTGCCAGAAAGAAGAGGGAGTCCACTCATTCTCCAAAGCACCTGAGGACAAGGAGGAGTAACGGATTGAAACTGACAAAGAAACATCCAGCCTGGAACTAAGGAGACATTTCCTCCCAGTGAGAACAATTAACCAGTGGGAAAGTTTGCCTCCTGAAGTCGTGGGAGCTTCATCCCTGGAGGTGATTGGACAGCCGTTTGTCTGGAATGGTACTATCGAATTTCTTGCCTGAGCAAGGGGTTGGGCTAGAAGACCTCCAAGCTCCCTTTCCAGCCCTGTTATTCTGTATTCTGTTCAAAAACTCCCAATGTAACGGGGAGCGTTTTAATATTCCTGAGGCCACGCCAGCCTTTCCAACTTCGAATCACGGCTTAGATTTACTGGCACGCCTTCCGGCAGGGAGAAAAGCTAGGCAAGGGGAATGAATCAAAGGAGAAAGCTGGCCTCCTTTCCTACCACATCGCATTATAGTCTCTCCTTTTTTTTAATCTAGCTTTCCCACATCAAGAGACTGACTTAAACACGGGGCCCTGCCTAAAGAGGAGCCCCGAAACCTCTCCAAGAGTTGGCATTGCCTTCCCCCCCCCTTTCTTTCTGTTCTCTTTTCCATGCCAGGATGAGTCCCTTCATGCCTGGGTGATCTCACCCTTCTGGCCTGCCATTGAACATGTTTGCAGCCATTCATTGCCAGAATCGGCCCGACGACACCAGCTTGCAAAGAAAGAGGGCTGCCTTCCTAAGTATTGTTTTTGCAGCTTCTTTCTGCTCCACCTTCTTCAGCCTTCACTGCCTTCCTATTCTTGGTTTCCTCTCTGTAAAGAAAAAAAAAACATTTGGAAAGGCTCCATCCAAGATTCAGTATTTTGTCTCTTGCAGTTCCTTCTGGCTTGACAACTTCTCCTTCTCCTTCTTCCTCCTCCTCCTCCTCCTCCTCCTCTTCTTCTTCTCCTTCTCCTTCTCCTTCTCCTTCTTCTCTGTAATTCTGGGCTAGTGAGACGTCTTTGTAATTATTTAGAACGACATCTCTTCAGCGGCTTATTCCTCCATTCCTCCATTCCCCTCTGAGCCACGTGCAGTTTCTCTCCAAACAGATGCTTTGCACATTTAGGCCAAACTTTCATGGCAATGTTGTTGATATGTTTGGCATCCCCCAAAGGCATTTCACAGATATATATATCTCGTGATTCTTTCTCAAGAATCACGTTGAAAAGATGAGTCTATTTCTCCCCAGTTATTGCAGGCGAAGAGTGAAGAAACATTAAGCTCTCCCAGATGCTGTTGAGTTCAGGACATCCTCAACTTACAACCACGATGGAGCCCAAAATTTCTGCTCTGACCATCATAAATATGAACCAATTGCCAAGCAGCTGAATTTTGATCCCGTGACCATGGGAATGCTGCAAGGGTCATAAGGATGGGATAAAAACAAAGATCATAAGTCACTTTTTTTCCAGTGCTGTTGTAGCTTGGAACGGTCACTCAATGAACTATTGTAATTCAAGGACTGCATGAATTGCTTTTCATAACATCAATCTCCTACTTGACTTCATCCAGCACAGCAAATTGGGCTGCACATGTTGAGCTGTGACCCACCACAGTTTGTTTCTCAGAGGTGGGAGCCAAACCTGCTGTTTTGAAACTTTAAACTGTGCACACCTAGCAGCCAGACCTGAGTTAAACCCGTGCTGTTTCTTTGGGTGGGAAGCTCACAAATCCAGAGCCTGAGGGATGTGGTTAGAATATTCTGGGCTAGGCGAAGGCCAGGAGGATGGAAAACGCCAGCTTCCTCCAAAACAAACGCAGGTTATTCGCATTCGTCACAAACCCCAGGCTGTAATTTTGCATTCAAGGCACAGGCCTCCCAGATCACCAAACTGGCTTTGTGGTTTAGGACTTCAGTGGCCACAACTAATTGGCACGAACTTGCCGCGGTTTAGCTGCCAAAGATATTGGTGGGAACCAAAAGCGACAGTTCATTGGCAAGAGAAAAAGTTTCCCCTTCCTTCTGTGGATGAGAAACCATTAATTTTGTGGTGTTTCTGTTAGTCCAGAGAAACACAGAGAATCAGAAAAGCACATGTGAGAGTAAACCGATAAGTTCTTTCAAATGACACAATATACTTTTGTTTACCATTTCTTCCTTCCTTCCCTCCTTCCTTCCTTCCCTTCTCTTCCCTTCCCTTCCCTTCCTGAACGTAGCTTGTCAAATAAAAACAATGCTTCTGTAGCAAACCCTCAAAGATGGGCTGCCTGCAAACCTAACAGTTTAAATAAGGCTAAGAGGTTAAATAAGATTTAAAGAATCTGGTGGCTCTTTTTAAAACCCTGATGTATGGCTGGATTCTCTGTGGGGATACGGATGGTTGGGGGTGGGGGGCTTATAAGGAAGTCTAAAGCTCACAGATCATGTAAAAATACAAACCAGAAATAGGACGGAAGGCTATACAGATGACATGCCTTCATGCATGATATAAATCTACATACGTAATACGGGGCCTATACATATAACAAGTATTTCTTTGGAGATCTAATTTGGGAGTTGGAGACATTTCAATCCAGTTGATGATGGTAAAACTCTAGCATTTTGTTTAATGTTTACATTTGTTGGCCAAGAGGGAACTTTGAAAATCTTCCCATCCTTGCAGTTGCTGTCTTTGTTGCCCTCTTGTGCTTTCTAAAAGCATCTTCCCACATTTCATATAATGTGGCCCCTTCCCCATTTGTTCCTTTTTGCACAGCAGGTTCCCAAAGGATGGAAACTGGAGTTAAGCTCTGTTGGTTTGCACACAAGGGACATGCTCTCTCTTGAAGCTGTACAGGCCCCTCACAGATCTCAAGAAGGGGGAAAGAAAAGGAAGCACCAGTAGATAAGATACCCAAGAATAGATGAGCAGCATAAGGGAAGTTAAAAAATATTGCAGGAGGGGGAACCAACATTACCTACTAAACATAGAAGATCCTACCAATAACATAATCCTACTCACTTTTTTGCACGCTGCAAACTTCCTCCACACATATGTTTACATCCTCCAATATAAAGTCTAAATCTCCTGCCTTGTTCCCTTTCAGCCCTACAACTCTATGATTCTAACTGCTGGACAAAAAGAGTTGATCCAACACAAGCACGGTTGATCTCATTCATTGTAGCATAAGTATGAAAACCTATTATATTCGATCTCGCACGAGCATTATAAACTCTTACGATTTGGCCTTATCAAAAACAGGATATCAGTATGGGTTCGCACCTTCAATCATCTCTCAACCAAGGGGCCTGACCTCATATAGCAGTAGCACTTAGACTTATATACCACTTTATAGTGCTTTACAGCCCTCTCTAAGCGGTTTACAGAGTTAGCATATTGCCCCCCCTCCAAATTTAGGTCCTCATTTTACCCACCTCGGAAAGAAGGATGAGTCACGTTAAAACGAAGTGTAGCAAACTGGAGAGTGATTAAGATTGCAACCATCTAAGCTAGGGGGTGTCCAACCGTGGCAACTTTTAAGTCCCGTGGACTTCAACTCCCAGAATTTCCCATAATGGCTGGGGAATTCTGGGAGTTGAAGTCCACAAGTCTTAAAGCTGCAAAATACGGAGACCCTTAATCTAAGCCACTCGTGTGGGCAGGAACACAGCCAAAATTTATCCTTCTTCCCTTCCCTTCCAGCCATCATCCAAGCCAAGCGCCTGAAAGCCACGGACATCACCGCAAGCAGTTTCCGCCTCACTTGGCCCCAGCTTCTGACGCGGGACACCGGCTACTACATTTTGGAGTATGCCCCGAGTGGTGAACCCCGGCGGAAAGTGACCAAACAACTCACCGGGGACCACACCAGCCTTGTGGTGGCTCAACTGGCCTCACAAACTGACTATGAGGTTGTCCTCATCCCAGAATCCAACGAGAAATACATCCCGCCACAAACCACCAGAGTCACCACTCTGGAAGGTAAGAGAAGGGAAGGGGGGAAATTTCCCCGTTGGGGGTTAATTTTTAAGAGTATACATCTGACTGGAATAACAGGCTCAGTCAGATAAATAACAGATAACAGATAATCAGAGTTGGAAGGGACCTTGTAGGTCATCTAGTCCAAGCCCCTGCCCAAGCAGGAGACCCTACACCATTTCTAACAAATGGCAGTCCAATCTCTTCTTGAAAGTCTCAAGTGATGAAGCTCCCACAACTTCCGAGGGCAACTTCTGTTCCATGGGTTGATTGTTCTGTCAGAAAGTTTCTCCTTATTTCCAGGTTGAATCCTTGTTCAGTTTCCATCCATGATTCCTTGTCTGGCCTTCAGGTACTTTGGAGAATAGCTTGACCCCCTCCTCTCTGTGGCAGCCCCTCCCTCAAATATTGGAAGACTGCTATCCTGTCTCCCCTGGTCGTTCTCTTCCCTAGACTCACCATGCCCAGTTCCTGTAATCGTTCTTCATATGTTTTAGCCTCCAGTCCCCTAATCATCCTGGTTGCTCTTCTCTGCACTTTTTCTAAAGTCTCAACATCTTTTTTATAGTGTGGTGACCAAAACTGGATGCAGTACTCTAGGTGTGATCTTACTAAGGCTTTATAGAGTGGTATTAGTGCCTCACTTGATCTTGATTGTATTCCTCTGTTAATGCAATTTAGGATTGCATTAGCTTTTTTGGCTACTGCTGCACATGGTTGGCTCCTATTTAGCTGGTTGCCCACTAAGACTCCAAGATCCCTCTCCCAGTTACTGCTATTGAGCCTGGTTTCACCCAGTCTATATGGGTACTTTTGGTTTTTCTTGCCTAAGTGTAGGACTTTCCTTTTCTCTACATTGAATTTCATTTTGTTAGAGAGGACCCAGTGTTCTAGTCTGTCAAGATCCACCCGGATCTTGAGCCTATCTTTTTGGGTGTTGGCTATTCCTGCCAGCTTAGTATCATCTGCAAATGTAGTAAGTTCCCCTTCTATTCCCTTATCTATGTCCCGCCTTGTCACTGTTAATTATGATAGCTCTTGTTACTGGTGGTGGTTGAGTCATTAATTTCTCGTTATTCTGGCTGTTTGTGCCAAGACATGGGCCTTTCCACGGGCTACAACCTAATATTCAAGTTTCCCAATGGAAATTTGGCCGAATGGAAATCTCTTTATGGATTTTTGGCTGGGGGAAAAAAGAAAAAAAAAAAGAACTTGTGGATTTATGGATCTGACCATTAGAAAGGGTAGCTGATGAAAGAAGGAGATTCTGATGTAAACTTGGAGTAAAATATAAATACAGGTAGTCCTCGACTTACAACAGTTCATTTAGTGACCATGCTAAGTTACAATGGCACTGAAAAAAAGCAACTTATGGCCATTTTTTACACTTACAATCTTTACGGCATGATCGAAATTCAGATTCTTGGCAGCTGATTCATACTTATGACGGTTGCAGTGATCCAGGGGGTCACGTGAATATCTTCTGCAATTTTCTGACAAGAAAAGTTGATTCGCATAGCAACTGTGCTATTGCATTGTTTGCCGATTGCTTTGATCCGATCAGGCTCGGTGTCCCCTTTTTAATTTTGTTGCCTTTCCTCTCTCTGCAGACGTGGTCAGCCCAGCCCAGATTCTTATCTCGGAGTCCAAACCCCACAGCATCCGGGTCAGCTGGTCCCCCATCCTAGAGACGGTGGCCGCCTATCAAGTCATGTACGGCCCCCTGAATGACAATTTAGTCCAGCTGCAAGAGGTGGACGGGAGTCTCAATAGCACCGTCCTGGAAAACCTCCTGGCCAACACCAGCTACTTGGTGACGGTGTCCGCCATTTATAAGTCTGGCAAGGAGAAAGCCCTCTCAGCCAAAGCCTGCACACGGGAAGGTGAGCAGGAAAGAAGAAAGGAGGGAGGGAAGATGTCAGGGTAATGATTTAAGAGCTGACCAGCTGCTACGATGATGTAATGCTAGGAATGAGTCAGCAAGGTTTTGGGGTTGGTATCACTTTAAGAGCCTGCAGTAAGAAGAGGCCCTGTTGGGGCGTATCTCTCTCTCTGTATGTGCTTCCGTGCTGTAACTGCTGATTGTTTGAGATCTGACTAAAGTACGTGTAGGTATATATTCTTTGTACATAAAACCACTATTTAAATAGTGTATTTTACTGTTTACTGTATTTGCTCCCGGGTTGTCTCACATTAATCCCACTGTGCACACTCTTGACAGGAGAATTGGGCACACTTAGGATCCCAAACAGCTGCAGAATAAGGATGATGGATTGTTGTCCTTTGATTAGTATTACAACTGCCAACATCCCTTGCCTGACCTTCTCCTAGGTTGCCCACTTGGCATATCCCAGCACCAGTTGTGATTTTCTTCCCCCCATTTCGGCCTGGAAAAAGCCCACACATCGTCCTCATTCTGCTTTTTTCTTTTCTTTTCTTTTCTTTCCTCCAATGCACAGAATACTCCAAAATAAAGCACCTCCATTTTGAAGATCTGAGCCCCAGCTCTGTAAAGGCTTCCTGGGATCCAGCAGAAGGAGACGTGTTGGGTTACCGTGTTCGGTGTCGGAGGCAAGCTGGCTCTTCGACCCTCCTCAGCGTTTCACCACAGATCCACAGTGTTCTGCTGTCAGATCTGACCCCCGGCAGCAACAGCAAAGTGTGTGTGAAGCCTGTGTACAGAGCCCGCCCTGGGAAAGGACTGTGTCGAATGATCCATCGGCAGCCTGGTAAGAGGCCCAGGAAAGGAAGTAATTTAGGTTGTGCTGCCTGTTGATTGGCCTTGGTACCTCAATAAGTATCTCTAGGATTGAGGGAGGGGTAGACCAGGGGCTCTGGAGCCGCATGTGGCTCTTTCATCCCTCTGCTGTGGCTCCCTGTCTCTCAAAATATGCAACTGCCAATGTGTGACACCCGCCAGCATGCGATTTATTGAGCTTTTCAACTCCCGGTAGGCAAACCAGGGATAAATCCAAGAAAATAAATGTTTCAGAAGAAAACAGAATCTTTAATTATGTATGCTAGTTTCATGGCCTCTCAGGAAATAGTCAGGCATGGGAAGGATTTTGTTGCTCCCAGGGTTTTCTTTTCTGTGGGAAACAGGTCCAAATGGCTCTTCGAGTGCTTAAAGTTGCCAGCCCCTAGGATAGACAAAGAAGACTGCAACACGAGAGAGGAGGGATCCTTGCTATTTTATGCACCGCTGCTTGTTCATGGTTGCTGAGCCCATTTGAATTCTCACTGAATTAAAAAATTTTTTAGAGATATTCTAACCGAATATAGTGGAGAGGAAGAAAGTTTGGAGGGCAATATTTTTCCCTGGATCCTTAGAATTAAATGCAGAGTGGTTTGAGAAATTTAGGGGGTTTTTTTCCCCCTAAGAAATTTGGGGGCCTCTCTTTCCAAAAGTCTCCACTTGAGCCTGGCAGATAACCAAGAACTTCATTTCCAGTTTTAAGCAGGAGGAAAGAACATGGCACAAGTTTAAAAAAAAAAAAAAAAAACCCAAATGGAGCTACAAAATTCAGCATGGAGCACATAAGGAATTCAGATTCAGAATTCAGGGGTTTGCAAGGAACGGGCTCCCCCTGGTGGCTGTCCCAGAAAAGTTCCCCGTGGAATATGCTACTGTACTTCCCCCCGTTTCTTTTCACCTTTTATAGCTACTTGCGATTGTTATAACTTTTCTCCTGCTTCAGCGTATTCTGCAAATTAAGAAGCTTGCAAGGCAACCTTATTCATCCACCTGACAATGATTCTTTGGTTCTTTCCCTTTGCAGCTTCAGCCACAGGTGGCTACAGGCACCGTCAGAGAGTGTGAGAATTTGTGAGCAAAATATTTGTGGGTCAGAAGACGAGGATAACCTGGGATAGCCTAGGTATCAAGACACCAGGATGAGGAAGGCTACAGCCCCTTTTTAAACCTCTGGTTTTAAAGTCCTCTTTTGCCACTGACTTTTGCCTACAAATGCCCCGATTTGTCTCGTTTACAGAAAACAGCTTCATGGGGATATTGGATCTTGCTAGAAAAAGACGTCCTTGCTCACCGAGTTTCCTTTCCTTTCTTTGGAATACCGGCGAAAGACTCAAGTCCCGCTTCTTTTGCACTATTTATTTGGGTGTTGTATTAAATGGGAAGGAGCAGAGAAAGCAAACGGATCTTGGTTCTTTTCTCACAAGGAAGTGAGAACATTCACCTTCTGATTTGCATTCCGAATTCTAAGAACGTCTTTCTGCTTCAAAAGCTATTGCAGTTCGGGGGGGGGGGGGGAGGGGAGGGGGGAAGCAATTAGAAACCCAAGGCAGATCCCAAATGATTTCTCGGTTATTGTCCAAGGCCCAAAATCTTAACTGTTGAACGCTGTTGTCAACTGAATTAAGCACATATGAATGAATCCCAAAGAGACTGAGGGAGCGTCGAGAGCAAAACCACTGGCCCCCTGATATTTCCTGTTTTATTTATCCACATTTGCTCTGCCCTTGGAAGGAAATAGTTAAGACTGCCAGGATGTCAAACTCTTTTTCAGGCTGAGTGTCACCTTAACCTTTGAGCACTGTGCCAGGATCCACATTCCAAGAAATAGGTGGATCAGAAAAACAGATCTAGCAATGGCAGGACATAATATGTGACCGAATAAAATTGAGAGATACGGTTACTGGACAGTAAACTAGTAGGGCGATGAACATGCTTAATCCCAGTCTATTTTGGGTGGCATCAAAAATTACATTTGTTGGGGGGGGGGGGGAAATGCAACCATTTAGAGAAAGTTGAGCACCCCCGCCATAGATACCAGGGAGCAATTAACTGATAAACAGAGATAAAGACAGACATCAAAGGATAGCTAAGATGCTCAGAACGTTTTGGGGAACAAGGTAATGTATATTGTGGAAACGCAGACAGGGAGCATTACACGGGGCTGGATCCATCAGTGTCTGCCTGAATTGAACAGTGGCCTATGCAGTAGAAATATTGTAAATTTCTGGAAATGTGAGAGAGGTGGCTGGGCCGCCTCAAACCTGAGATCGTCCAGCAAAATCACACGTTTGGTTCAGAAGACACAACCTGAAGCACTTTTTCACGCAAAGTGATGGGCGTCGGAAATGTTGTTCCTTAGCTGTGTTGGTCCTTTGGGGAAAAGTAGCTTGCAAATTACCATAATCTGGCCAGTTTGTGCAGCACTGCCAGACAATTGGAGCTTAGGACCTTTTGTTAAGGCAGCGAACAAACTTGTTTGAAAAATACAGTATTATCATGACCATCCTGGGTGGCAGATCCCAACAGATTTGCGGAGCACCCAGCTGGAGATGGTGGACCTAAAAATATGCAACCAGAGAATCTCTACCGTAAATCACTGCATTTAGACAACTAGTCCCTCAAGATGAAGTTCAGCTAGAATCCCAAAATGCTTGTTTTCCACGCATGTTTTGTTTAACTGTTTCAACGTGGGAGCCCCCGTCTGCATGAGAATTGAACTAGCCCAAACAATGGTGGAATTTCTCAGCCCAAACTAGTTAACAGAAAGGCAGGTGTTGTTTTTGTTTGTTTTTTAAAAAAGAGGCAATTGTAATAATGCAAGTAATGTTGTGGCTTGTGGCTATTATTTGTAATGAAACCTGAAAGCTTTAAGATGGCTTCGTTCCTGCTTCAGAATGTGCGTGACGGTCATAAACATCTTGCCAGTCGGGAAACTATTTCATTTTCTCCACAATTCTTTCATGTACCGTTTTACTAATGCAGTAGCCATTGTCTCTCCTCAGCTTACTCCAGCAACATTGTCATGTATCCTTTGAAATAAGGTAAATTAAACAGAGAACAAATGAGCCAAGTCATTTGGAATATTTTTTCCCCCCTCTTTTGGACGAGGTCCCACCGAACGCAATGCCATGGCATTCACGGTTCATTTTCAAGGAATGAGACTTGGGAACATTGTGATCTGTTGACACGAGATTTTTTTTGGGAGAGCAGAAACTGGGGAAAGAGAGAGAGATTTAATTTCCTGCAGGGTACTTGAGGGCACTCAGATCCTGTGTCATGCCAGGAAAGATCAAGCCAAAGAAGTATATAAACAGCCATGCAGTGTGTTGGGGGGGGGGGGGGAATAGGGTGGAGCAGAAGTTTAAACAGGGAGGAAAGGGATATGTTAATTGGCTGATGAAGTCTGTATTTTTAATTAGCTTGCTGGGATATTGCCAGTGTAATGACATCTGTACAGTGAATGTAGAAGACCCGTTAGAAACCCCCGAGTTTGAAACATTAAAAAAGAAGAAGAAATATCATTGAGGGGGCTAGCAAAATCAGAGATAGGTAAGAGAGCTTCTACAAACAAAACTCATTGGCAGAGAAAGATATCCATCTTTGGCCAGTGTGGAATTTCTTGTCAACCGGCAAATTGTTAAGTATGAAACTGGATAAAATGCAAACGTTTTGAAACGTATGTACTCAGGACTGCTATCTTATTAGATTGTAAGAGATTGCCCCTAGGTAATTAGATAAAACAAATTCTGTAATTCTGTAATTTGGGAAAGCTGGGTCGAATAGTTATTTCAAAGGAATCTTTTCTATTAACGTGAGCTGCTTTTGTTTTTTCACTCACAAATTCAAGGCACGGGCATGACTGATCAATGAGGATAATTCATTATCGAATAATTTGTGTTAATAGCGGGATGGTTTTAATCCCTCGGTTGGATTTATTCCACGTAAGATGAGTTTCTGCAGTTACTCACCAAGGACGATACCAAAATGCTCGTGAGCCAGCCATAAAAAGGAGTGCTTCAATAAAAGAGATGTGTATATCTAGAACCCCTCTGGCATGTCAATTACAGGTTAGATATCTTCTCTTTTGCAAGTCTAAGAATTAAATGAATCTCAAAAAAATATTTAAAACTACCACTACGTTGAAATACAAAAGCAACCAAATATAAAAGCATTCTATAAAAGATGGAAAATGTATATATGCTCAGTTTTTTTTTCTTGTAGGGTAATATTTATCTTTTTTTGTTTGAGCCAAAGAAGATTTTCTTGATTAGTAATCAGGTTTTTTTTTTTTTATTCAGTGCCCTCCTAATCAAAAAGTTAAAGCAAATGAGGGAAAATCCAGAGTGAGTGTCCTTTGCTGAACTAGTTTGAGACTGCAGGCAATAACAGTCAAACTCAGGGGTCAAAAAAAGGCACACGCACACACATCAAATCTGCACACACCAAGCCAGAAAACAACCCGCACCGCCTTTGACACAGAGATGTCTGATGTTTTGCGTAGTTCTCCCCAGTAAATCAGGATATCCGGTTACCTTTTTCTCTAGCAAGGAATCTTTGCTCACTTCATTTCATTCCACTAAGCACTTCTCAAAGTTTAAATCAGCTCTGAGCAATCAAGGCATAAAAATGACTGGGCTGGGCACTCAGAATCTCACACACACACACCCCGCCAAAGAAAACAGACCATCATTCACTGGGAACAGAAGAAGGCCCTGCTCATCCTGACCTGCCTTTCTTCTATTTCCTCTAATGCCCAGTGTCTCCTTCGGCTCTTTACCAGTAGGCCCTGAGGGAGGTAGAAGTGGGCTTCTGTTGCTGCTGGAAGTCTTTTGATGCTCTTGATAGCGCCTCCCTATAATCGAAGACCGACTGTATCTCTGGGCTGCTTCTCAGAAGTTTGTTGTTCTTGTGGGCTTCGTAGTGGAATTGAGAGTCCCTCATTTCGTACCTAAAAACCACAAGGAAGGAAGGAGAAAGGGGCTTGACTGGCACTCTGCTTACAAATGAACATTGCCCACAGAATCCCAGGATTAATATATCCAAAACCTCATGGATCCAGCAAACCCCACCAGATTTCCACCTGGCCCTGCTGAATCTGCTCTCAGCAGCCAACCCAAAGAAGCCACCGCCCTGGCCCAAGCCTCGGAGAGCATGTCCTCACCACTTGGGCCTGGGGCCACGGGTTCGTTCCAGTTCCTGCTGCCTCTTTAATTCCAACAGCCAGCCCTCTTCCACACGCAGGCGCTCGAGTCGGAGACGAGCCAGCTCTTTCTGGTACGGAGACATTTCAATCAGGTCTCTCCCCATCGTGCTTTCAGAAAGCGTCTGCAGGAAGCTGAACCCCGAATGTTTTTTAACAAAAGATGCTTAAATGTCTTGCAAGTCAAAACACTGCTCTATGCATAGCTTGACTTTATTGCCTATGGGCCACACAGGACTACTATACAAGACACTACTGTTATTGTCAGGCAGGAGAACGATCTAGTAAAAGATTTTCTGGCCTAATTAAGTTATTTTGCTGTTTGCCAAAAAGCTGGGGAAATTTCCTACAACAAGCCATCCCAGTCTTTCATGTTGAAACAGTTTGGGAACTGACATTTCAACACATTACAGTGCCCACCTGTTATTATTTATTTAAAACATATTAGCTGCCTAATTCCAACAGACTCTGGATGGAGTACAAAGCTAAAAGAAAACACACAAAAAAAAAACCCAGTGAGAAACATTAAATAAATGTTACAACAACGGGCAGCCAACACCAAAAGTACTAAATTTTTAAAACTCGCCCAGGGTTACTTTGTGGTAAGATGGAGGTCAATAAACAAACTCTAACAAAACCCATAAACCAAAATAGGGGCCATTAAATAATAACAAACATTAATCCCAGATCTTTAGCTCCTCAAAGTTGGTTTCTTTCTCGGATAATCTCGAGCTTAGCTGAGGTTCAACTTCCATTATCATTCCACCCCAGGAATGATCCACCTCTTCAGGGTATGATAATGAAGCTAACATAGACTATGTAGCAAGATGTACCTTGCTAGTTCTCAATTCTGATTATGTTAGAACAGGAGGCCTAGACGCCTCTTCCTACCGTTCGTTGATCTCTTCTGCAGTGGGTGAGGAGAGATCGGGAGAAGCCAAACTGTAAGGACTCCAAGACTCCCTCGGGGTCCTCTGTCCAACTGCCTTAGTGGAAGTCCAGGATTTCAATGCTAATGTTCCTGGCCTGAAGAACCTCAACCGCGATTGTCTGCTTGTTGTGCTTTTCTTCCTGACTCCCCTGGGCTTCCCCAGCTGAGGCGGAGGCTGGGCACAGGCATTAGCCTTAGCCGAGGTGGGCCTCCAGATAGGCCTCGGAGACTGAGAGCGTGATCGGAGCCAACGCGGACGTTTGGCATCCGGAGAGAAGGAGCAGGAGTGGGTAACCTCGGAGTGACTCAGCGAACGGCCCCTGCGCAATGTGAAAGAGGATCTTTCTGGCAAGCAAGCTCGGACTGGAATCTTGGGGGGCAGCAAAGACTTGACGCCAATCACATGAGGGGCCCCGAGTTTCAATGGGGCAGAAAGATCCCCCAAGGCAGGAGAGTTCTGACTCGCAGTGCCAAAGAATCCTGAAGTTTCATTTAGTGAGGATGAATGTAAGGTTGGAATGGCCAAATCCATCAAATTCAAGTTATCGTCTAACGATCTCGCAAGATGCTTCGCTTTCAGTAACCATTCGGTCTCTGAGGGTGACCCTGATGGGTGCCATTTGGAACTTAAGGGACTTGGGTCAGCCAGGTGTTCCAGAGCAGAAGGGTAATCTCGATCTGGATGGACAGTAAGACTGGAGGCTAAGCTGTCCACCTGAACCTTCAGGTTTCGTAAGCTTTCTTCCAAGTCTTCAATGGTAAAGACCCCTGTCAAAGAGTGAGATGAGAGAAAAGGGAGAGAAAATCCATGTTAGAAGACCCAAAACATGAACTGACCCACAATGAGCATTTCAATCAAAATGACAAACCAATTATTATTCTCTGCTGTCTCCCATGAGACACTGTGCGGAGTTCATGGGCATCTGTACCATTCCCTCTTTTTTCCAATATGGAGAAACAAATGTGGATCTTGAGACAGCCAAAATGTCACCCTTGACTATTAAGAGGGAGATAAAAATTGATTTCTTTTGAGGGTGGGGCAGAGGACTTCAAGATTTTTAGGAATACAGCTAGTCCTCGACTTGCAGCCATTCAGTGAAGTGACCAGCCGAAAGTTACAACGGCGCTGGAAAAAAAAAGTGACTTATGACGGCCTTTTACATTTACGATCGTTGCAACATCCCCGTGATGCAAATTCAGACGCTTGGCAACTGCCTCGTATTTATGATGGATGCAGAGCCCCGGGGTCACGTGATTCCCCTTTTGCGACCTTCTGACAAGCAAAGTCGGTGGGGAAGCCAGATTCCACTTAACAACCGTGTTACTAACTTAACAGCTGCATCGATTCTCTTAACTGCGGCAAGAGAGCTCTTAAATTGAGGCAAAATTCACTTACAAATATTTCGCTTAGCATTGTTGGCTCAATTGTGATCGTAAGACGAGGACTACCTGTACAGTCCAAAGAAGATCAAAGCAAGCAAAATGTTGGACACCATCTTGCTTGTTTTGAAACACTACCCAGCCTTGCAGACCCTGCAGTTTGGCTTTCTTCCTGAGACTGAGAGACAGCAGGCCATTTAAAGTCACTCTGCACGCTCCCTGGAACTACGAGGCTTCGAACCTGGGTCCCCCCCACCAGCACTCTTTACCATTTTCTTCCTCAACCAGCAATGGCTTTCTCTGCTGCTCATCCTCGCAAAAAGCCGGGCGCCTCCCTAGATTCACAAAGCCAACCTTGTGGGTTGTGTTGGTTTTTTGGCTGTTGCCAAGGAGCTCCTTTGAGGCCTCTCTAGGAAAAGAAAGAACAACATGACATCCCTTTAATGTTGGCTGTTAAAACTTAATCCAGAAACCACAACCGCCTCCACATATTTTTTTTATGAATTATTCCCATTCTGGCCTTTTCCCCCCATTTCTTAGCTCACCCCAAAAGACATAGGTGGGGTTCATTCTTTTTTTTTAAAAAAAGAACATTTTTATGCTTGCAACAACCAGAGTAGGACCAGAAATAGCATTTTCCCCCTCCCAGAAGGGTGAGAAAAGGCTCTGAGTGAAAAAAATGCTCTTCTGTTCATGAATTGGGCTGCCATGTAACTGTGTGTGTGTGTGTGTGTGTGTGTGTGTGTGTGTATGTATGTGTGTATGTATGTATGTCTATGTCTATGTCTATGTCTATGTCTATGTATATGCATATATATATATATATTGTGTTCATGGACGAACACACTACAGAAGCCTGATGATGGCAGATGAGATTCTGCCGAAACGTTGCTACAACTTTAAAAGCACAACTATAATGACGTAGGAAAATTTATATTTATATAGAGATATACATATACATATATACGCACATACACATGCACACATATATACATATACATACACACACATATATACAAATACTAATACTAATACTAATACTAATAATAATAATAATAGCCTGAGGTGACCAGTACCTCAGTACAATTTTGTGAACGACCCAAGTATTTATACTGAAGTGGTTTACAAATTGATAAATAAAACAACAAACGCATTAAAATACACCAGGCAGGGACTGCAACCTCCATCGTTCCCAGCCAGCATGGGCACTGGGATGGAAGGAATTGGGGCTTTGGAATCCGACCTCTTGTCTGTCAAGGACCCCCTTCGCCTTCAAGACTTTCCACACCTGAGGGACTACAATTCCCATCCTCCCCAGCCAGCAACCCACCCACCCCAGCAGGGAATCTTCTCAGAAACCTCCATCAGGTGGTGCTCTCCCTAGTTTCCTTCAAAAGCCCCCCTTACCTGAGGGAAGCCCCGCAGCCTCGCACTCGCAAACCCGCCGCCTCCGCCATCCGCGGTCCACCTGAGGCCTCGCCTCCATCCCGCTCAGCGATCGCTTCAACATTCCCGTTGCTATGGAGACGGGCCGCCTTCTGGACGACTGAGACTCGACTAAGATTGGTCCTCTTCGCTTACCGTCCCTCACCGTGTTTCTTTTTTTTTTCTTTTTTTCCCTTCTTTTCCCTCCTCCTCACCCCATTGGGCGCCTCTTCCTTTCGCTTCAAGCACGTGACTGAGGTGGGGGGGCGGGGAAAGGAAAAGGTTCTTTTCCTTCGTTGCCCAAGCCTGCGACTCTATGGCTCGGCTTGAGCTTGCCTGCCAATGAGCGGCGGTGGAGAAGGGAAGAGGCGGGTCGGCGCCTGCGCAGAGCCGGCGGCGCGGAGTCCACGTGTGTGTTGGAGGGGGATTCGCTGCTTGCCGGTTGGCGGGAGGAGATCATGTCGTGGCTCTTCGGGCTGAACCGCGGCGGCGGGGCGGGCGGCGGCGGCGGGGACGCGGGTCCTGGAACCGGGCTACCCCCGCTGCCTCCTCCGCCCGGCGGGGGATCGAAAGAAGGGACGGGCGAGGGGAGCCGCCCCAAGGACAAATGGAGCAACTTCGATCCCACCGGCCTGGAGCGCGCTGCCAAGGCCGCCCGGGAGCTCGACTCTTCCCGTGAGTCGGAGGGGGGCGGGTGGGCGGGGTGGATCCCCTCTGGTGGGTCGCTCCCCTGCTGGGAGAAGGCTGGCTGGATCCCGGGCCTCGATTAACGGGGATCCTGTGGCCAAGCCCCCTGCTGGATCTGGTCCTTTCAGTGGATCCCGCGATGGATAAACTCTTTAGCAGGAATCGGCCACCAGGGAAAAAAGCTCAGTGGATCTCCATGCCTGCTTGAATGGAGATTACATTTAGTCCTCGATTTATGGCCACAATAGATCCCCCAAAAAGGTCCGTTGCTATGCGAGACATTTTTTAATTGGCCGTTAATTTAATTGTTTTACGATCTTTTTTGCCACCTTGGTTAAGTGAATCCCTGTACAGTTGTTTTAAGTTAGTCCTACGGTCGTTAAGCGAATCTGGCTTTCCTATGGACTTGGCTTGTCCGAAGGTCACAAAGGTCATAAATAAGTGTCACTTGCCGAGCATCTGAACTTTGATCACGTGACTGGGGAGGGTGCAAAGGTCGAAAGTGTGAAAACTGGCCCTCACCACCTTTGTTTCAGTGTGGTTGTAACTTTGAAAAAGTCGCTAAACGAACTGTTGTAAGTCGAGGGCTACTTGTATAGAAACCCTTGGCTGGGATCCCTTTCCAGGATCTGCTCCTGTGGGGGGGTGACAGTGGTGCTTTTGAAGCCATCTTAATTCCCACAACACAGTCAAACTATTTAATAAGTCTGTATTAATATTCTTCTCATCTTTCTTATTACCTATCTCTTTCTTATTACCTATCTCTTTTTGATTACCTTATTACACATGTGCCGGAAGTGGCACGCAGAGCCATCGTCACGGAGCAGGCCCACTGCGCATCCACGCACACCACCCGCACGCACGCCAAGTAATCGTTGGGTAGCTGCTGTGCATATGCAGAAAAGCACAAGAGGGGATCATGTGCTCATGCGTGGGGGTGTGGAGGGGCGCGTGCATTGCCTTATGGGTGTTGGCACACTTTTGGCACGCCAGGATGGAAAGGTTAGCCATCACTGACCTATCTCCTTTTCTACTTATGACTCTTAACTTTGTTGCTTGGGTCTTTAAGGTTTATATTGCTTTATTTAGTTTCCTAGCACGATTCATATTGATTCTATCGCTAAGACTTGTATCTTATGATTTGTGATGAATACATATTTTTATGATGACTAGGATCGTGATTTATCGCTTATAGCTTCTATGTACACTGAGAACTTCTGCACTGAAGACAAATTCCTTGTATGTCCAATCACACTTGGTCAATAAAGAATTCTATTCTATTCTTTCTCCTGTTCTATTCTATTCTCTTTCTCCTATTCTATTCTATTTTCTTTTTTTTATTCTATTCTATTCTTTCTCCTATTCTATTCTATCTTGATGCTGGACGAGAATCAGATCCTACAATTAACCACAATGCCGAATCTGCACACAGACACTTCTTGTCTCAAACAGCCTTTTTGCAGCCTTGCTTACAGCCACCGAAGGCAGACTGCCCTTGAGAGTACCAGCAACAATGCCCTTTGACCTTCTAGCTCCCATGTGATTTTCTTCAGCAGCTTCTATTGTGGCTTTTGCCCCTGAAAGGGAAGCCAGGAAGGGCTGACCAAAAAGAGTTTTTAACTCAATGTATTTAAATTTAAACCAGGAAGGAGCATCCTTTTGAGTTGATGTTTGAAAACAACAGTTTTATTATTCCTCTTCCTTCTGGCAATGCACAAGCTAGAATCTCTGGTTCGGACAACATTGTGTTATTTCCAGCAGGGCTTATTTGCATATAGTTTAACCATTGGGCAACCAGGATTGCACCGAATTATGGGCAAAATCACTGTTAGGTGGGGAAGAATTTTTTTTTTTTTTGAATGATGAAAAACAACTGATGGGCGATATTTTCTTTTCAGGACATGCCAAAGAGGCCCTAGGCTTAGCTCAGCTACAGGAACAGACACTACAGCTGGAGCAGCAGTCCAAATTAAAGGTGAGCAAAACCTAGCAATTCAGGTTGTGCTATTAATCAGTTGATTTCACATCCACACATACGTGTACCTTGCTTGATCATTCCTCATATTTGATGTTGAGACTAGAAAGAGCAATGATGATTAAAGGCCTGGAAGTTAAAACTTATAAAGAACAATTGCAGGAATTGGGTATGGCTACTCTAGTGAAAAGGACTAGGGGAGACAGGATAGCTGTCTTCCAATATTTGAGGGACTGCCACAAAGAAGAGGGGTCAATTTATTCTCCAAAGCATCTGAAGACAAGACAAGAAGCAATGGATGGAAACTAATGAAAGGAGAGAAGCAGCTAGAACTAAGGAGAAATTTCCTAACAGAACAATTCATCAGCGGAACGGCTTGACTTCAGAAGTTGTGGGAGGTCCATGGGGGCTTTTAATAAGAGGGTGGATAGAAATTTGTCTGAAATGGTACAGGGTTTCCTGCTTAAGCAGGGGGATTGGACTAGAACAGTGGTGGCTAACCTTTTTGGGCGCCTGTGCCAAAAATTGTGTGCGCGCCAGTGCACACACACTCGCGTGCCAGCACCCAGAATGCAATATGCACCCACGCCCCCTGCGCATGCACGCACAATCCCTCCCACCCCCTTACCTGCACTGCACCTCACAGCTGATTTTTCGGCTGGTTTGTGGCCTTTTTCAACCTCCCAGAGGCTTGGAAAAAGCCTCTGCAAGACTTGTCAGGCCTAATTATAGGCCCGTTTTGTCACTTCCTGTAATACCGGAAGTGAAGAAACGGGCCTATAATTCAGCCTGAAATGCCTTGCAGAGGCTTTTTCCAAGCCTCTGGGAGGCCAAAAAAGGCCTCAAACCAGCCAAAAAAAAAAATCAGCTGTGAGGAGCACACATGCGAAGTGAGGTAAGTTTGCCTGCGGCTCGAGTGCCAGCACAAATGGCTGTGCGTGCCACTTGTGGCACGCGTGCCATAGGTTCGCCATCATGGGACTAGAAGATCCTTGCAAATCTCTTATTCTGTTATTTATAAACATTTTCACCTTGATGTTGCAAGTTGCTTTTAATAGATCAAAAGTGCCAGACTTTTTCTAAGGCATTGCTAATATCACCATGATCAAAATCTCTGCCTTTAGATTAGAGTGAGGCAGCTATTTGTTTTTTTAGGTGGGGAACTTAATAGGATTTCTTGTACGAAAGAGCTGGAAATGAATGTATTTTCCCACAGGTTGGTTCTGTAATTCTTCCTAATTTGTCCTTAGGAATACGAAGCTGCCGTAGAACAACTGAAGAACGAACAAGTCCGGATACAAGCAGAAGAGAGGAGGAAAACCCTTAATGAAGAGACGAGGCAACAACAAGCGGTAAAATGCTGTCTTAACAACCGTGTTCCTAATTTAACAACTGCACTGACTCCCTTAACAAATGTGGCAAGAAAAGTTGTAAAATGGGACAAAGCAATTGTAGTCCGTTAAGTTGAGGACTACCTGTATCGTGGAAATAGATTGTTTCAATATTAAATTCAGCTCAAATGAAGTTCAGGGTGGATTTGATTTAAATCAAGTCAATTTAAATCATGATTTAAATCACTAGTAAAAAAAAAAAAAAGGCTTGATTTAAATCAACTCGATTTAAATAATAATTTTTAAAGAGCAGCTGTCATCTCTGTCCTGCAGGGGCTACTCCTCTGACCCACTGTTGACTCACCAACAGTCCCAATATTGCAGAATATACAGCCTCATGCTATGTAACTTAAGCTTCATTTCAGGCTGAATAAATTATTAACGTATCTTAAAAATAGAAAACTATCTTTAGATAGATCTTTACTCCCAAAGTATTTTATTAAAATAAATTAGATAAAAATAATAATAATCTGATTTAAATTTTTTTAAAAAACCTGACTTTTTAATATATATTTTTAAATCATAGATTTTTATCCATCGTGGTGAGGTTGCAGTCTTCCCTGCTTTAAGAGTTTTAACTCTCAAGGCCCTTGTCCCTCTTTCCTCTTAAATATCACTCAATTTCCCCTGTGTCTGTTTTTATCTTAAAGAGAGCCCAATACCAGGACAAATTAGCTCGACAACGTTACGAGGACCAGTTACGACAACAGGTTGGCCCTATTTCTTTCTTAAATGCGGGGTGGGAAGGGTTTGATCACAGAAGGGGAACCATCTACAGCCTGGTACATCTGTGTGGTCCTTTTAAAAAATTACTTAATAAATAGAAATGCTGCTCACACAGATCATCTGGGTTAGTTAAAAACCCTTTGTGAGCGAAGAAGCAATGGCCTGCAGTGTAAACAAGGTGGGGGAAATATACTCAGTCGTTGAACATTAGAAAGTACTGTATATTGCTGCTGTTTTTAAGGCAAGGGTCTTCAAACTTGGCAAATTTAAGACTTGTGGGCTTCAACTCCCAGAATTCCTGAGCTAAGATGACTGGAGGAGGAATTCTGGGAGTTGGAAGTCCACAAGTCTTAAAGCTGTCAAGTTTGAAGACCCCTGTTTTAAGGGGAAAGAACAAATACTTTTAAGTGCAGCAGCTTCCCCAGTTGTCCACAGACTGAATTCTGCTCTTCTCCCCCAGCAACTCCTTAACGAAGATAATTTAAGGAAGCAAGAAGAATCGGTTCAGAAGCAGGAAGCCATGAGGAGAGGTACGGGGACGATGGCAAAGGGGAAGATTTGTGGGCTCTGGGCCTACCAACAGGACTTTAGAGTCGAGATGCGAAAGTTAAGGAGACTGGAGAAAATATTAAAGGGAGGAGGGAAGAATCCCCGAAGAATAGGAGAAGTTGGAAGAAAATAACCAGGAAATAAGGGGAGGGTGGCTGGATTTTTGAGAAAAGGAGAAAAATAGGCGTTTTCCCTTCTCTGTATCTGCTACATCAGTGTTTTCTAGCCTTGGCATCTTTATGAGGTGTGGACTTCAACTCCCAGAATTATCCAGCCAATCTGCATAGGGATGAGAAACTATCTTTCCATATCTGTGTAAAAGGAACAAATATCTCGCTCCACCCCCAGCATGAAAGAAATAACGCTCTCCATAAGTGATCTTTGGGAAAGGAGGTTGAACTACAACTCCCATCTCTCCCCCCCCCCCCCCCCCCAATAAAGTCTGGAGACCGTTGCAACCCCAGATGGCTTTTTTTCCATCGATTCAAGCTCTTGGTTTCCTTCTGTAGCGACGGTGGAGCGGGAGATGGAACTGCGGCACAAGAACGAAATGCTGCGGATCGAGGCGGAAGCCCAGGCTCGCGCCAGGGCGGAGAGGGAGAACGCGGATCTCATCCGGGAACAAATTCGGCTAAAAGCCGCCGAACACCGTCAGACTGTCTTGGATTCCCTCAAGTACGTTTGCTGAAAAACCTGGGAACGGGCAGGTTTGGTGAAGACTAGGCCGTGATGGCAGAATTAACGGCACTTATTTGGAACAGAAGTTTAGCCAAATTTAAATAAAAATGTCTTCCCCCCCCCTTATTATCTGGACATGCCATTTTTAAAAAGGTTTGCTCTTTTCTTCTTTAGGACAGCTGGGACGCTTTTTGGAGAAGGTTTCCGTGCCTTTGTTTCTGACTGGGATAAAGTAACAGCCACGGTAAGGCACATATCAAAATTTTGAGACCACAACCATCTCATGATCCCATTAGTGACCAATAGAATAGAATAGAATAGAATAGAATAGAATAGAATAGAATAGAATAGAATAGAATAACAGAGTTGGAAGGGACCTTGGAGGTCTTCTAGTCCAACCCCCTGCCTAGGCAGGAAACCCTACACTGCTGCAGACAAATGGTTATCCAATCTCTTCTTAAAAGCTTCCAGTGTTGGAGCATTTACAACCTCTGGAGGCAAGGTGTTCTACCAATTAATTGTTTCTAACTGTCAGGAAATTTCTCCTTAGTTCTAAGTTGCTTCTCTCCTTGATTAGTTTCCATCCGGTGCTTCTTATCCTGCCTTCCGGTGCTTTGGAGAATAACTTGACTTCTTCTTTGGGGCAGCGCCTGAGATATTTGGAAGACTGCTATCATGTCTCCCCTAGTCCTTCTTCTCATTAAACTAGACATATCCAGTTCCTGCCATTATTCTTCATATGTTTTAGCCTCCAGTCAGTCCTCTAATAATCTTTCTCTGCAAGAGTTAACTTTCTCCCAGGCTTAAGGCAAATCACAAGGCTGATCAGTACATCTTCTAACACAGCCTGGGCATGCCACCAGAGGGAAACAGTTGAACATAAATCATAGTGTATTCACACCCCAAGCCAAGCCAACCAGTTTTGCGGTTGGTTCTGCTTACATGGAGGAGAATGTATTTCCTGGAATTGCTCAGGGTCCGGAAATATTGGCCGTTATTCCAATCTGGGTGAAATGAAAGAAGTCTGAAGGAAGGGGGGGGGAAAAGAAAGAATTCTTTATTAATAATCCCTCCCAATGTTTGTAGCTTAAAAAAAACAACACCCTTGCATTGTTAGAATTATACACGTGGTTGGAAAAAAAAAAGTTCTGAAAGCATTGCTTTTCTGATTTGTGGCAGGTGGCGGGATTGACTCTGCTGGCCGTTGGCATCTACAGTGCCAAAAACGCCACCGCTGTGGCCGGGCGGTATATCGAAGCTCGTCTGGGCAAGCCCTCATTAGTGCGGGAAACCTCCCGTATCACTGTGCTCGAAGCGCTCAAGCATCCCATCCAGGTAAGCTTTCCGGGAATGCCAATTTATTGGGTATAAAAACAGGATCTTAAAAGCCGTTGTAATGGACAGAAGGAATAACCTTGAGGAACAGGAAGAAGAAGAAGAAGAGCCGCAATCAAGAATGGTCAGATAAAAGAAACGGGAGTCTGGCCCAGTACTGTAATGCGAGGAAGCGTCTCAGAAAAGACCCTTTTCTACTTCTCAAAAAAGAAGCGGCGAAGGACATTTGGGCTTGCAGGAATTGGTTACTATAAACTTACAATAGCATTAGCTTGTGTGTCTTTGGTTTCCAAGTTGAGAGACTGATGGTTGGCTAGGATTTTTTGACAGCCCGTCAGACAATAATCATGGTGGGATTCTCTTTATCAGTTATCGTGTGTCATCCCTTAACAGATTATCGCCACCTTCTCTCTAGCCATTCCTTACTTGAGGATAATTTCCCCTGTCTCCTTGGCTTTCTAGGTTGGGAAGCGGCTGGCCAGCAAGGCCCAAGACGCTCTGGAAGGAGTCGTTCTCAATGTGAGTGTTAATCACATCTATCATGGAGCCACTGGCATTGGAAACTACATTTTTTAATTGGGAGGGTCGAAAATAACCACATGATCAAAACTCCATCCTTTTCATTTATTTATTTGTATCCCACCGTTATTTATTTTTGCAAATAACTCAAGGTGGTGTACCTATCCCACACACCTTCCTCTTATATTCCACAACAACCCTGTGAGGTGGGTTGGGCTGAGAGAGAGTGACTGGCCCAAAGTCACCCAGAAGGTTTTCGTGTCTAAGGCAGGACTTGAACTCAGAGTCTCCTGCTTTCTAGTCTGGTGACTAGACCAATGTAGCTCTGTAATTGTGTCAGTAACCCAAAGTTACCCTGTTTCCCCCGAAAATACGACCTACCCTGAAAGTAAGTCCTAGCTTGATTTTTACATGTGCTTCCAATATAAGCCCTAATAAATGTCAACTCATAAAACATTCCTATGCCTATTTTAGTGCCATTAAAAAAGGGGGGGGAGGAAGGAAATCTGAAAGAGCAGTGCAGCAGTTTAGAAACGAAAGTACATTCCAACTCTTCTCTTTAAAAGAGTGTAACTAAACTACCAGAGCTTTTGCCCGGGAATATATTTAATTGGAGAATGTGAATGATGACACCCAGCCCGTGAACATGCTCAATTGGAGAATCTGATTTATGACACACCCAGGGGGGAGGGGGGAAACAGGGTCACAGGGGACTGTAAATGATGTAGGCCAGAATTGGCTTCATACAGGGCAGGGCCAGTATATTGCTTCTAATAGATCCTTCAAAGTTTTTTGAAGTTTGGCTTGAGAATCATGATTTAATTAGGGCGATTGCTGGAATCCTGACAGTAAATATGAGTCAGTTGCCAAGCGCCTGAATTTTGATCATGGGGATGGTGCCAATGGTTGTAAGTGTGAAAAGAGACCCTTTTTTTCACTGGTGTGGCAACTTCAAACGGTCACTAAATGAACGATTGTAAGTTGAGGATTAACACCTGTACTAGAAAGGTTTTTCCTTGCCCATATTTGGCTCGGCTGTTTGGAAAACCAGGTGTAGGATCCGGAAATAAGAAGACTGAACTTTCCACCTGCCAAGCCTTAATGCTGTTTGTGGGGCGTTGGGTCCTTTGCAGCCGAAGCTGGAGGAGCGGGTGCGAGACATAGCCATCGCGACCCGGAACACAAGGAATAACCGAAGCCTCTACCGGAATATCCTCATGTATGGACCTCCAGGAACGGGGAAAACCCTTTTTGCCAAGGTAGCACCCCAGTTTTATCATCCTGTCAAGGAGGGTGTCAACTCATAAAATATTTCTATGGTCTTTTTAGAGTTGCCAATAGAAAAGGGGGGGGGGGAGCAGTGCGGCAGCTTGGAAATCGAAAGCGCATTCCATAAATAGTTTTCAAAAATAGTAACTAGGTGACTGAAGTTTATTCCGCGCAAAATTCTAACTGGAGAACATGATTGATGACTCTTGGCTATGGATGTGTCCCATTGGAGAATATGAATTATGATACATCCGGGGTGGGGGGGGGGAACCAGGGTCAAGGGTAACAATGAATGATGTGCCTCAGAGTCGCCTACACCTAGGCAGTGCCGGACATGTTAACTCCCAATAAATCCTTTGGAAGTTTGGCTCGAGACTCCTGATTTAAATGGGGTAACTGCTGGAATCATGACACTGGGTTTATTGACCTGGTTATGGCTTGGATTCCAGGCTAATATAACAAACAGAATCAGAAGGAACCCTGAAGATCTTCTAGTCCAACCCCTTTCTTAAGCAGGAAACTCTATACCATTTCAGACAAATCTTGTTCTTTCCCTTTTTTCCCTCCACACATCTGGGAATCAAGTTCTCATTTTCTAGTTTCTGAATTTTTTTCAAAAAAGTTTTTTATTTTAATTTACATAAGTGCTTAGTGAATATTGCATTGTCTGAGTTATTTCACTTATACAGTCCAATATTAATAGTAATGAAAATGAAAATAATCATGTATTGTTTACTTGTATATAATCATAATCTTTCATTATTAACTTGTAACTAGTAACGATCTTTTATTTTTTAATTTCTACTTCTGATAGAATACAATAGGAATAGGAAAGAATAGAATAGATTAGGAAAGAATAGAATTGAATTGAATTCTTTATTGGCCAAGTGTGATTGGACACACAAGGAATTTGTCTTTGGTGCATAAGCTCTCAGTGTACATAAAGAAAAAATAAAATGCATTCCTCAAGAATCACGAGATACAACACTTAGTGATAGTCATATCTAACCACTGTTAAAATACATCCCATGTTAAAAAATATTCTGTTTCTTGTCCTTTATTTTTAGTGTCAGTCTATCCATCTCTGCAGTCTAATATCTAGTTTCTGAACTTCTTTACAGCATTTATAACTACAATTATAGTTTAGCTCCCTCTCCTAAAGTTACTTCACGCTCTCTTTCTATAATCTAGCTTCTGTAATCGCCAAAACCATAAATCATTAAGATTGGGTTTTTTTTTTAACCCCCCCAAAAGTCCATAATGGACTTTCACACCAGATGTTCTGAACGTACCAATGACCTTCATTCACCCTCTTTTCTCTTTCTAGAAATTAGCCATGCATTCTGGCATGGATTACGCCATCATGACAGGTGGCGATGTCGCCCCTATGGGGCGCGAAGGTGTGACTGCCATGCACAAGGTTTTTGACTGGGCCAACACAAGCCGGAGAGGGTAAGTTGGATAAGTAAGAAGAATATTAGGAGCTTTTGTTCTCACAAGCGGGAGCAAATCTCTTCTCTCTGTAGCAAACCCCATAGTTTTTCTAAAGCAAGGCTCTTCAAAATTGGCAAGTTTAAGACTTGTGGACTTCAACTCCCAGAATTCCTGAGCTAACATGACTGGAGGAGGAATTTTGGGAGTTGAAGTCCACAAGTCTTAAAGCTGTCAAGTTTGAAGGCCCCTGTTCTAAAATAATCCTAAAACAGCTCTTATTTGGAGACAAGCTGAAGGATCTGCTTGATTGTCTGGTGTTAATACCTTGTTTATCTGGGTGTTGGTTACTGACGAGGATGTACTGTAGTCTTATTTCCTTCTAAGCTGTTTTATTGCCTCTTTTAACGGTATGTAAATGTTTATTTCTGTGAGTCTATTGATGGCTGAATTCCTAGTTTCCCAGCTGAAACTATGGCTTAATCTCTCCACGTATTATGAGATTAAGGAGTTCTCATCGTATCTTCTGCTAGTTTGGTGTTCAATTTCACAATCAGACTCCCAAATTTATCTGTAGCAAGCCTTCCAGCCAAAATCTTCTGCTCCTTGCTGTGGGTTTAAATTATGTTTAGCATATACCCGTTTTCCCCTTTCCAGCCTCTTGCTGTTTGTGGATGAAGCCGATGCATTTCTGCGTAAAAGAGCAACGGTAAGTGTTCTCCCTTGTTTCTCTCATTTTCACGTACGTTTCTGTGTCATGCCCCTGGAGGAGACTGACTCTGAGGGAGAGGAGGAACAGCCGACAGGGAGTGGAAGTGTGGCTCTGGAGGTTGTGGAGGAGGCTGGGGAAGGGCAGAGGCCGTCTGAGCAGTCAGAGGAAGACCCAGGCCCACCCCCTCTCCATCCTAGGGCACGCAGGGAGGAGAGGATAAGGGAGAGACGGGAATGGCGTGGTCTACGGGGGAGGAAAGGGCCTTGATCCTCTTCACGGGCTGCAGCTGTGACAACTGAATAAGAGTACGGACCTGCGTATGGGCGAGCACTGGAAACAAAGCATGGAAATATCTCTAGTTTATGGTTCCTCTCTGAGTTTGGCATCCTTCCCAGTGTGTGTTAATTGTGGACGTTCCCCCAGCCCTTATCTTGCCTGGTTTGTGTTGTTTTTCTTCTTCTTCTTGTAACTGTTTGTGTGGGAGTTTTTTGCCTTCTGTCAAGAATATTTGGAGCTTGGAACCAAAATGAAGGAATAAAAGGGGCTTCACCTGTTCTCTGTGACTTTGTTTGTTTTGTTTCCCACCCTGGGATACAACATTCTGGTTACGACTGGGCCAGTCAAACACTTTTTCATTTTAATTTGTAGCTCAGGGTTGAAATGAGAAGTCCTTGATGGTCTCTGAGCTTGGTTGGTTGTTTTTTTTTGCAGATGTTCCATTACTCAAACTAGGTAGCATGAGCAGTTTTTTAAAAAAAATATGATATCCTCACTGGCTTGAAAACTTTAGACTGCAAGAAGAAGGAGGAGTGGAGAGAGATACTTGTAGGAAAAAGAGAGCAAGGATTGGATTTAATTTGGATTAATTGGTGTTCCTCAACTTTGACCCCTCCATTTGCTTATCCTGGCAGGAAAAAATCAGCGAGGACTTACGAGCAACACTCAATGCTTTCCTTCATAGGACGGGACAACACAGCAACAAGTAAGAGAGTTCCCATCACAACCAAGTAACGGAGAGTGCTTCTAAGCGCCGTTTCTCCATCTTGACAGCTTTGGAGATGCGTGGACTTCAACTCCCAGAACTTCCCCAGCCAGCTTTGCTCATCAACTCTGGGAGTTGAAGTCCGCCAGGCTTAAAGTTGCCAAGATTGGAGGCCCCTGTTCTAGAAGGTCCATTTATTGTACAACCAGAATTAAGTCTTGGTTTGTTGGGTTGGCCTTCTCTCTCTGAGAGGACGGGGAGAGTTGGAGATAACCCCGTCTCGGAATGGGAGAGAAATTTGCCTTAGAACCTGGTTTAGACAACCCATAGATGAATCCCAGAATCCTAGAGGGGGAAGTGACCTTAAAGATTATCTTGTCCACTCACTGGTTAGTTGCAGGACCCACTACAACTTCTATAATGGCCTCCCTGCCTTTGCTTTTTTAGTCCCAAATGCTTGCAGGATTTCAGTCAGCCCCACTGTCTGGGAATCATGGAGCTTGGAACTCCAGCTCAGATGGACAGCTTAATTATTCCCAGAGAAAATTTGCTTACCACCAGAGGCTCAAATTAGACTGTTGATTTACAGCTCTGCCTGTAGCAATAAGCAATAGGACTTAGACTTATATACCGCTTCACAGTGTTTTACAGCCCTCTCTTAGCAGTTTATAGAGTCAGCCTATTGCCTCCAACAATCTGGGTCCTCATTTTATCGTCAGGATCAAACTCCTGGCTGTGGGCGGAGTTAGCCTGCAATACTGCATTCTAACCACTGGGAAGGAAGGGAGAGAGGGGAGGAGGGAGGGGGGAGGAAGGAAGCAATAGTACTTAAGACTTATATACCGCTTTATAGGGCTTCCCAGCCCTTTCTAAGCGGTTTACAGAGTCAGCCTCTTGCCCCCAACAATCTGGGTCCTCATTTAACCCACCTCGGGAGGATGGAAGTCTGAGTCAACCTTGAGCCTGGTGAGATTCGAACTGCCAAATTGCAGGCAGCCCCGCAGGTAGCAGAAGTAGCCAGCAGTACTGCACTTTCGCCACTGCGCCACCGAGGCTCATGTATATCTAAACCCAGAGTCACCGAATAGTAAGACAGGCAGCATATCAATGTCATTAAATTAAAATATTTCCCGAGCTGCTAAATGGTCCAATTTGCCACGGATCTTTTGCAAGACCTTTTAGAAAAGAATATTGAAAGAATATTACAATTCTTTGAAACTCCAGCTTTGTGTCACCCAGGATGCCAGCTGCCAACCTCGGAGGATTCCTTAGAGGAAAACAACAATGCGAAGGAGAATCTCGATTAGTATTTTTTTGGGGGGAGAAAACCACATGTCCATAACAGGTTAAATTGTTCCCTTTAATCGTCTGGGAGAGACCAGCGGGAGCCATAACTATTATCGGGTGGGAGGGGAGGGAATCTTTAAAAGGGGCCCCTAGGAATTGAATGTTGAATAGCAATTATCCCAAAATGTGCTAACTCATCACAACTGGTGGTACTGCTTGCTGCTGCTGCGACAATCGTTGCCATCCAAAAATCCGTTTCGATTCATAATGCACCATTAAACCAAAAGCGGTGGCATCAGCAGCAACCTTAAAGATTTTTTTTTTTTTTAAAGCAACACCATTGTCAAACGGGGAGCCTGGGGAATGGGAACACAAGAGAACTGCCATAAACTCGAAGGACGGGATGTACCTCCGTTTCCTGCCATTAAGGGAACTATGACGCCATCTTCCATTGCATCAACAACAGAGGGGTCGTTTCGAGATCATGGGAGGTCAACAGTACTGCTTTATGTGGTGGGACCACACTTGGAATACTGTGTCCAGAATGGTGCAGTGTCTCCTATTTCAGCTGGGAGTTGGACTAGACCAGGGGTCGCCAACCCTTTGGACCTCGGGGACCACCAAACTCATAATTTCAAATCCCGTGGACCAGAGACCCTGGGAAAATCCCCAAAAAAGTCTGCAGGAAAGTTCCCCACCCCATTTCCCTACCGGTTGATCATTCTTTATTTGGGATTGCAGGATACCGTCTACAACTCTGTTCTCAGGAGGAGAGAGAGAGAGACTTTTGGCTTCATGCAAGGAAAGCAGCAGAAGCAGGCATGATATTCTTCCGATTAAAATCGGAATTCCGATTTTTTTGGGAATCGCCCCCTCCTTTCCCCCCACCCCTTCTCCTCCTTCCCCTCCCCTCGGAGGCCCCGAGTCAGGAGTTGCTGGCGCGGCTCCGCGCGGCTCCAGTCCCGCGTTTCCTCAGGAAGGGAAAGGCAAAAAGGAAGAGCCGCGGCGGCGCTTTGCAACGGCAGCAGCGGCTCCTGGTTTTGCCTTTCCCTTCCCGAGGCAACGCGGGACTGGAGCCGCGTGGAGCTGCGCCGGCGGTAGCAACTCCTGACAGCCCCAGCCGGATACCTGAGCGGAGCCCGGGCGGTGCAAGCGGAGGCCGCTGAGCGGCAGGAAAAGGGAGCTGGGCCAGCCACAGACCAGCCTCCGTGCAACACGCCGCCGCCCGGCCCTGGCGAGGGAAGGCAGCGGGCGCTCCCCGGGCGCGCGGCAGGGGGTCTCTTTTGGCCGGCCCCGATTTTTTTTTCAGAGCGGAATATCATGTCTGCAGAAGCCTTTCTTTCTCTCCCCCAAACTCCGCCAGAAATGAGTCTTTGTGAGACGTGTCATGCCAGCGCAGCCTCTTGGAGCAGGAAGGCTTGCAGGATCCCAAAGACTCATTTCTGGTGGAGTTTGGAGGAGAGAAATAAAGACTTTTGCTGCTTTCCTTGCGTGCAGCCAAAAGCAGAAGCGGAAAGAAGCAGCCCGGTGGCCAGGCCAGGCGCGTGGGATGAGTGGGGCAAGTTCCCCCCTCCACCCTTTCCCTCCTCCCCTCACTACCTCGTGTTGTTCGCAATGCAAGTGACGCAAGCCTTGTGTTCCCACGTAGCCTGGATTAATTGCTTTGGGGGTGACATTTCTCTGCGGATCACCAAAATTTTCTCACGGACCACCAGTGGTCCCCGACCTGCTGGTTGGCGACCACCGGACTAGAAGTCCTCCAAGGTCCGTTTCAATCCTATTTGGTCTTCTGAGGTCCATTTTTAATACTCGAGCATAAGCGTCTTGGGGAAACATTTATTAATCGTTCTGCTTGTCCCTGATGGCGTTAGAGAACTCGGGGTACATTTAAGGTGACAATAAGATTTTTTTATCCTATTCTAACCAGCTCAGGAATTGTGGGATATGTGCCCTTCTCCAATTCTTGGTCTTCTCCTTCCTGGCAGGTTCATGCTGGTCTTAGCAAGCAATCAGCCGGAGCAGTTTGATTGGGCCATCAACGACCGGATTGATGAGATGGTCCACTTTCAGCTGCCGGGTTTAGAAGAGAGGGAGAGATTGGTCCGAATGTATTTCGACAAGCACATCCTCCAGCCAGCCACCGAGGGCAAACAGTGAGTACAAATCTTGATCTTCTTGCTCTGGTTGCTACTTGTAAGAGATGTAAGGGGTGGGAGCCACAGAAGGGGGAATTGCAGATTGGATCAGTCCTTTTCAAGTTCCTTACTGATTCTGACACTCTCGACTTACGGCCACAGTTGAGCCCAAAATGTGTTGCTAAGTGAGACGGTTACGTGAGTTTTGCCCCATTTTACGACCTTCCTTGCTACAGTTCAAGTGAATCACTGCAGTTGCAGAAGGTCACAAAAAGAGGATCGTATCATCCTTGGACATTGCAACTGTCATAAATATGAACCGGTTGCTAAGCATGCAGCTTTTGAACATGTGACCATGGAGATGCTGCAGCGGTCATCAGTGGGGGGAAAAAAACTGTCACTTTTTTTTCAGTGACATTGTTACTTTGGTCACTGAGGCCTAGAGGTGGAGCTTTCGCCTCACAATCAGGAGGCTGTGAGTTCGATCCTAGGTAGAGACAGATATTTCTATCTCTGGGCACACTTGAGAATATATTTGCTGGACAAAACTCTGGTGTGATGACCCAGGGAGACTGAGACTTTTGGCTTCATGTAAGGAAAGCAGCAGAAGTCTTTCTTTCTCTCCCCCAAAACTCTGCCAGAAATGAGTCTTTGCTGGCGCAGCCTCTTGGAGCAGGAGGCCTTGCAGGGTCCCAAAGACTCATTTCTGGTGGAGTTTGGGGGACAGAAAGAAAGACTTTTGCTGCTTTCCTTGCGTGCAGCCAAAAGCAGAAGAAGAAAGAAGCGGAAAGAAGCAGCCCGGTGGCCAGGCTAGGCGAGTGGGGCAAGTTCCTCCCCTCCGCCCTTTTCCCCCTCCCCTCACTACCCCGTGTTGTTTGCAATGCAAGTGATGCAAGCCTTGTGTTCCCACGGGCCATGTGGGCATCACAACCTTGTGTTCCCGCGCAGCCTGGATTAATTGCTTTGGGGGTGACCTTTCTCTGCGGACCCCCAGTGGTTCCCCAGCCCACTGGTTGGCGACCACTGGAATAGATGACGCCACCTAGGAAATCCCGAATATTTGCATCTGACACTGGGCGACATGCGCAGAGTATTTTTTTCACCCCAAATGAGGAACCACCAAAGAAAATAGGAAGCATGGAGAACACAACCCCCAAATTAGGGCTCCTGAAAGAAAAACCGAAGAGGCAAGACCGTCTGCCTCCTTCCCCAAGCAACCAGCAGGTTTTAATTTCCCACCGAGTGGAAAATTAAAAAAACAAAACGAACAAGGGGAGAGGGGGAAACAAATGTTTTCCCACTGTGGTTGATTCATCTGCTGTTTTTTTTTTTTTTTTTTTGGCACCCAGGCGCTTAAAACTGGCCCAGTTTGATTACGGGGAAAAGTGCTCGGAAATTGCCAAGCTGACAGAAGGCATGTCTGGACGAGAGATCTCGCAGCTCGCGGTGGCTTGGCAGGTAAGGCTCAACAGACCCTGTTGGGATGACCCACCCCATCATCCTGAGCCTAGCGACGAGAACGTCGTGGAATGGAAAGAAACCATGCCCAGAAGATCATGGGTTGCCCTCTCCCCTCTTTGGAAGAGCTTTATAGTTCCCGCTGCCTTAAGAAAGTTCAAAACATTCTCAAAGATCCCTCTCATCCTGGGAAACCCCCCCCCCCCTTTTTTTTTTTGAACTATTACCATCTGGCAGATGGTACAGAATGACAAAAACAGGCTGAAAAATAGCTTCTATCCCAGGACAGTAACTCTATTGAATTCTGCTGTATAGTACAGAGTTTGTTCGGTGTCAGGGGTTTTCGGTTCAACGTGTGTGCTTCCATGCTGTAATTGCTGATTGCTGTTTGTTTGAGATCTGACTAAAGTACATGTGGGTATATATTCTTTGTGGATAAAACCACTGTTTAAATACAAACCTCTGTTTACCGTTATTGCTCCTGGGTTGTCTCGCATTAGTCACACTGTGTGCACTCTGACAATTCAAATGTAAATCACGTGGCCATGGGAATGCTGCAATGGTCATGAGTGTGAAAGATCACCACAGGTCACACTTTTTCAGCGCCACTGTAACTTCATATGGTCACTAAATGAAATCAAGGACCACCTGTAACTTCAAACTAGGATTCACCATTTCTTTTTTTTTCCTCCCCAGGCCGCCGCCTACGCCTCGGAGGAAGGTGTCCTGACGGAAGCCATGATTGATAACCGAGTAGCAGACGCGGTTCAGCAGCACCAGCAGAAGATGGAGTGGCTGAAGGCAGAAGGCATGGAAGCAGGCAAGAACCAGCCACTACCGCTTCCGCTGGGGAAGACTGCATGAAGGCCCTCAGAAATGGGGCCAAGAGAGATCCCAGACCTTTGGGTGGGATTCAGAGATGAGGGGAAGGCTTTGTGCCATTGGAATCATGCGCAGGACAGAATCGAAAAGCCCCGCATCTTGAAGGAGGCTGGGGGGGGGGTTCTTGATCCCACCCCCTGTTTAAAAGTGGACCCCTGGAATAATTATGGGCAAATGGGTCTGTATCACGCAAAACAATGTATTAAAAAGAGAAATCCTTCGCCAAAGGACAGCAGCCTTAACATTTTGCACCCTGGTTTCATTGGTTTGCAGATGCTAGTTGGCTTCTGCTTTTAGAAAACCAAAGGGGACCATTTCATTCAGCAGAGGTCCCTGCAGTGAAGGCCTATCCATCTCCCTTGGCATGGTGTGAAATCAGAATTCGTGTGTGTGTGAGAGAGAGAGAGAGGGAGAGGGAGAAGGCAGACCCAGCAATTAAAAAAATGAAAAGCCAAATGAAATAACGGGTAATTAGCCATTGGTTAGCACCTTATCGATATTTTTAACCTGCTCATACCCACTTATGTTTTTTAAGCCACGCAGGAGTCACTCGGCAGGGATAAGGGCGGCATATCAATTTCATAAATAAATAAAACCTTTTTGCCACTTGCCAGAGAGACCTCTAGGAAAGGTTAGGTTGGAAAAGATGTCTTAAAATCAAAAGTTTCTTTTTGCTTGGGTGTTCAAGAGTTTTCTTTCTAGTTAAAAAAACAACAACAGGTTTAACGGAACCCATTTGACTGCTAATTTTAGATAGGTAGGTAGGTAGAAAGAGAGGAAAGAAAAGAAAAAAGAATCGGCTGTTAACAGATGGGAATTCCCTGCCTTTGAAAACAGAAACATTATTGCTCTATTTGATTCTAGTTTCCACTGTGGCTTCATTCTGTATTGCTCCCCTCCAGCACTGAAGAAATGGGGTGAAACCTTTTGCCCATGGGGTTGTTCGATAGACACCGTTCTCATCTTCCACCTTTCCTCATTTTCTAAGAAGAAATCTGCTTGGAGGAGGCTGCCAAATAAATATATAAAAAGAGCGGGGGGAAATAACATCCTGTTCTCCATGCTCATTAAAATGCTGTCAAATCAAGTGAACCCCAAGGAATTAACTCTTGAACGGGAGTTAAGATTTTCTCCATTTTCATTCATTTGATCCATCCAGTCCTCCAGGAAAAAGAGTTGGGGATCTGGAGAGACTGAAAAAGCCTCTCTGCTATAGAACTCGACGGCTTCACAGTGTCACAGCACCTTTCACAAACACTGATTGGCTCATTGGGGCTTAGTCACACCTACCACTGCCTGCCTGGCCAATGAGAAGCAACCAATAACTTTTGCCAAGATGGCGCCAAAATAGCAGCTCGAAATAAATTTCCCTCAGGTTCGATCCTTACAGTCTTTTTTTAAAAAAAAGAATTCCTGAGGTAAAAATAAAAGGCCAAACTGGTCACAGTAGAGAGACCAAGGACCATAAATCTAAGAAAGCAAGAAAAAAAGGGGTTGTTGACTCCTGTTACCACACGACAAGAGACACACAAAATGTGAGTAATACAATAATGGCTACACACACACACATCAAACTTCGACAACGACAATAAAGACAAGCCTCATTCCTGAACTTCCTGAGCTCAAGTCACTTTCCAGAGTAAGGAAGCAGCAGAAATGGGGGTCCCCCTGGAATTGGACAGCCAATAAATTCAAACAAACAAAAAGAAATGACAATATCTAGGTGGTCCCCAACTTACTAACAGTCCATTTAAGTGACTGTTCGAAGATGGCACTGAAAAAAAAGTGGCTTATGGTTGTTTTTAAGACAGTTGCAGCATCCCCGTGGTCACGTGATCAAAATTGGGGTGCTTGACAAACCGATTCATACTTATGACGGTCACGGTGTCCCTGATTCACTTAACAACCGTGTTACTAACTTGACTGCAGTGATTTCTTTAACAACTGCGGCAAGACAGGTTGTAAAATGGGGTGTTTTTTTAACCCATTCTTAACAAATGTCTCACTTAGCAACATAAATTTTGGGCTGAACTGCGGGCATAAGACGAGGACTACCTTTAATGGCCACCTTCTGGATCAGATCTCCAGAAGCCCTCCACAACTCCATCCCCCTACCTTTCCATGAGGTTTGCCTCTTTTTTTCTGTAGAAACTTTTTTTTATAAATTGCAACAGCTAAATAATTTTTTGCCAATCTATTATTATTGTATTATTACTCTGTGTGGGTTATCCACAGTTAATGTTCATAGCTTAAAACCAGTGAAAACTGAAAAATTCAAGACCTAACCAAGGACCAAAGGATGGTTATTATCTTCTCGTCCCACCTTTCTAATATATAGAATAGAATAAGATTCTTGTTATTGGCCAAGTGTAATTGGACACACAAGGAATTTTGTCTTGGTGCAAATGCTCTCAGTGTACATAAAAGAAAAGACATTTATCAAAAGTCAAGAATCATCAGATACAACAATAATAGTCATAGGGTACAATAAGCCATCAAATCATACTAGGAAACAGTCAATATAGATCGTAAGGATACAAGCGATAACTTTAAGGCAAATATACCCAATATTCTCACCCTCTATTTTCTGCACAAAACAACCTTTGAGGTGGATTGGGCTGAGAGAGAGAGACTGACCCAAAGTCACCCAGTTACTTTCATGCCGAAAGTGGAACTGGAACTCCCTGTTTCCTGGTATCTAAGCCAGCACCTTCACCAAGACATCAAACTGGCTGTCATATTACTTATCAATATACTAATGATACTATAAGCAATATTACTATCATATATGTAATATATGAATGTTGCTTATAACACTAAAGCAGTAAGTTTTGACCACCTTATGGTGATACTTCTTCCCTCAAAATAGAGCACTGCACACCAGAACAATTAGACAAAGAGTTTCTCCCCGAACACCATCACTACTAAAATAATTCCCTCAAAACTGTCCAAGTATAAAATCTGCACTACTATTACTATTAATCTTCTTGTCACTCCTTATCACTCATCCCCTCCCACTTGTGACTGTATGACTGTAAATTTGTTGCTTGTATCCTTACGATTTATATGGGCTTTCCTAGTATGATATGATGGCTTATTTGTACCCTATGACTAGTATCATTAAGTGTTGTACCTGATGATTCTTGACGAATGTATCTTTTGTTTTATGTACACTGAGAGCATTTGCAACAAGACAAATTCCTTATGTGTCCAATCACATTGTAACTTCAAATGGTCATTAAACCGTTGTAAGTTGAGAACCTGTGTTACTTTCTAACCAAGGTCATCTGGTTTGTGCTCAATGACAAACTATAAATCTGAAGTAAATGTATCCTTGCTGCATAGCATCGCATTCTAATGTGCGATACATTCAGACTTGGCCATACTGGCTAGGGCTGATGGGAAGGATAGTCTTACATGCCCGGAGGGCGCCAGATTGGCAAATGTGCAGTGACTCATTCCAAAAATGAAAAGAACATGGCACAGCTTACCTTTACAAAAATCAGAATGAGGCTTGTCTGTCCCAGCTCTACACCCATTCTCATATTTTTAAAAAAGGTATATCTTGATCATACTCTGCTGACATCATGGCTGAAAGATCACAGAATGCTGGTTTCTTTTCCAGTCCTCTAATGAGGCTTATTTCCATAAAATCTATTGTTGCAAAGCTCTCTCTTTCATTGGTTCCTTAACTAGCAATTTAAACCTTAACTGATTTAATTAGCTCTACAGCTTGTCATCTTGACTCCCATTTTTTAACCCATCGATTCAGATAGTATCTGTATCAAGTAGCAGAACAGATAGAAAAATGGATATTAAAGCTTTTGGTTTGAAACATTCCATCCAGCTTCCTAAACTGCTTCTACACCAGCTGGTTACCTTGAGGGCTTTTCCTCCCTTTCTCCCTCCCCACCTCCTTTCCTTTTGTGACATGTCTTTTAGACTATAAAATTAAAAGCAGAGTGTCAGCCATTTTTGAAAGGCTTCTTAGAAGATGTTACCTTTCTCTAGTTCACCTAAATCAAATGAGATGGACGGATGGAGAATTATTTTAAAAAGCTAAGAACCAAGAATTTTCTTTTTAAAATTTTCTGATACAGTATACAAGCATTGTTGCCAATCTACCCTCCCACCCCAGCCCAAAAGAATTTAATTATGGAATAGTAAACCACCTGAACTTCATGGTTTAAATATCTCATGGAAAATATTTGAATGACAAAAGTATACAAAGCACAGTTGTGAAACAGATTTCCAAAAATCTGTGTTTAAACATACCATTCTCTCTCTCTCTCTCTCATACACACACACAAGCAGACAATTGTTGACAAATATTAGCAAATGAAACATAAGATTAGCGAGGTTACCAGTAAATTTCTCATCTTTCATTCATTTTGGGTTCTTGGTGAAGTTGTTATTTTTCCTTTTAATCACACGGACATTGCAATCAAACAATAGAATAATCACAGACATTTTCAGTATTTTCCTACGGAGGGGTCTATCCCAATTTTTTTTTAATTCTCTGGGTAACAGTAAAACAAATTGGGAATGCTCTTTTTCAAACCCAAAATCTGCTGATGAAAAAAAAAGGAATAAAAAACTAATTTGACATGCACTAGTGTTGGTCAGTCGCCTCTCTGTTCCAAAGAAAATGTGTCTAGATTTAGGCCACTGAGTTCAATGGGCTTTGACCACAAGCTGGGTTCATGCCAAGCCCTAAGCCATGGTGAGTGGAATAAAGATTTATCGATTAAACCATAATTGGCTGTGTTCGTACCACACAGCAATCCAACCAACCAGAACCACAGGTTAACTCAACATGACTTAACAAGGCGGGGCATCCATTTCTTTAGTAGAGATCTTGGAGATCATGCAGACAAAAAGTTGGCAACCTGATGTCCACTTTGATCTTCTGCCTCGATGCCTAACCATTAAGCATGTTATCTGGGGATTGAACCAAGTCATGGAGGACTCCAGATTGTGTATCTTCCCCCTCCTGAATTCCTCATATATATACCAGTCTCCAAGAACAATGCAGCAGGGAAGTCCTAAACTAAAACTTGCTTTCCCCTCAACTTATGATCTGCTTCATTCCCCTGTCCACCCCCCGGGCCTGGTTGCTAGAACAAACTCAGCTCGGTCTCCTTGAACCCCACCATGCTGGGCTCTCTTTCAGAACTGATCCCCCAAATCCCCCCATTTAGCACGATGACATCATATCTGATACAACTAAATTTAGCACAGGTTTCTGTACGCCCTAATTCATGCATGCAAATCCACTGTATTAGTAGTAGTAATAGGAAGAAGAATTATAAGCCACCTAACGTTGGATGTTCAGATGGGCAGGGTAGACTTGTAGACAAATGTTGGGCATCATCTGGCTTTGTAAGAAGGAAATAAAAAGAACGGTTTCTCCAGCATCAGCCTAAAAAAGTGGGGGACAGGCTGCTTTTAAGAGCTGCAGAACAGGCAAAGGCTTAACAGGTATGGCGGGCATGATTTCTACCCGCCTCTTAGCTCTAAAGCCTGCTTTCCTAGATGGAGGAACACCTTAACAGAAACCTGCCTCTTGAAAAACCAGCCTGTTCTGCGACTCGATTGCAAGAAATGTGCATTTTAACCATCATTGCAATAATGATTTCAGCCAGTGTAAGCTCTGATGCACAGTGAGACAGAAGAGATGAATAATCTTGGAGATGACAGTGTATGAAGACTCGTTCTGGATCACACTAAACTCTAGCGTGTATAGCCATGATTTATTGAATAAACCACAATTGAGGGTTGCATTTGTGCTGACTTGCATGGCTGACGCATCCCAGCAGCTTAACCTGTCCAACCTCCTAAGCCTTCCAAATGAATGAACTCAGCACAGCATATGGGTCCACTTGGTGGAACCCTGAAATTGGGTCTATTATTCCCAGTTCAAATGCCCTTTTCGCTCTTGGTATCCCTGGCCCTCCCTCCCTGTGTAACTCCCTTCACTGAAGCCACTGCGCAGTTCAGTTTCTGAGGTAGATGGTCTTGTAAATGCAACAGGGTTGAGGCGCCAAGATGGCAATTGCCATTATCCAGATGGTTCCGGGTATAGGACAGACCAATTGAGAGATCTCCAGATTCTTCCGGATGATAACCTCCATCCTGACTCATCACAGGCAATGCTTACCAAGGCTGATGGGATGTGGAACTTCAGGCTATCTTGAAGGTCTTACGATGCCCATTGCACAAAAGAACATATGAACATGGTATGTAAGGAAGGGACTATAACTGGAAAGAAGTATGCTTTGCCTGCTAAAACCAACTTGGGCACCTCCAATTTGTTAAAAAGAATGACCTCTCTAGGACTGAAACAATTATATCAAGCATCATCAACACAGCACCAAACTAAACAGTCTTGTCTAACTAAGAGTCAGTTTCGGTCTTGCCAGGAGACACCTGGATGAAACATTCACAGGATCAGTCAATAGTCCAAAGGGACCTTATATGTGCAAATTTTTACTAACATAACCTGCTCAACCAAACTTCTCAAGGTAGACCGTTTTGGTTTCTTGGAAGACAGCTTGCTCCAGCCTACAGATGACTACATTCAGCCTGGTGGTTGCGGGTTTTGCATGTCAGAATAGAACTACCTGTTTCTTCAGGCAAGTTGGAGGAAAGATCTCCCTAGGTTATGATTCAGAAGGAAAGCAAAGCAGAAGTGGAGGCCAGAGAAAACCAAGCTATTTCTCAACTCAAAAACAACAGAAGAGGGTCCTTAAAGGATTGTACCTACCAGGTCATCTAAAATCCAAACCAAATCTACATTAGAAATGAGTTATCAGAGCACAATGTAGAACCTTCATAGGGATCAAGTGGATGAAAGGGTCAGATACAATTGGAAACAGAGATTCAGAAGTAGTTGAAGGCTAAACAGGGCAACATCTGGCCAAATTCATCTACAAAGACCATGGACGACAACAAACAAAACTTCCAAATCAACAAAGAAAACCTATAGGGAGAAAAATAGACTGCCATTGCTATCATCACCAAAAGAAGCGAGGGCTGGAAAGTGTAATGCAAATTTTCTCTCGCGCTCTTTCTGTGCTGGTTTGTTTGTCTCCTTTCATCATATGTACAGGTCCACCAGTCAAAGGGTAACCACAGTGCAATGTCTTGTGAGCCTTGGATCCAGGACAGGGGGAATTGTGCATTCTCTGTGCGCAGAGAATTCTGCAGACACACCGTTGGTGGAACTAAGGGGGAGTCTTTAAGTGGTGTCCACCAGGGAGTAAGCAGCTGGACAACTCCCCTTGGTAGACAGCAAAAGGCATGTTCAATAGACCACTGATCAGTCCCAGGTTTCCTTAAAGGTGTCTTGGGCTTGGGTGCCCATTATGATACAATTTCTGTTTGATGTGCACCATGTTTCCCGCAGCTTCATCATACTGGCTGTGGTGGCGTTTCCGGAACTCTTTGAAATTACAAAATTTGGGAAACCAAGACCATGAATTGTCTGGGAAAAGAGAGAGAAACAAAAAAAAAAGTGACTCAGCATGATGGAAACAGAGATTCGTTTCATTCAACCCAACAAGACTTCCAACAGGGGTGGGCAAACCCCTTTGGTGATTTGGGGCCACGGTTCTCTTTTGAGAACCATCTGGCCACTCCAAAGGATGTTGAAGAAGCCACAAAATATTAAAAAAAAAGTTTCCTGTCGGGATTTTCTAACAGCTGGTGTTGCAAAGCATCCAAGTTCAGATTTTAGAAGAAATATCTGTCATTAACAAAGAAACATTCATTTTTTCCCCCTCCTTTACGAATTTACCTAATCCCATTTTAAAATCTTTCGACATGATCTTCCAATTTATGAGACATCACCATGAAGAGAGTCCCAACCAGGCTAAGTTAGTGGTAAACAGTCTTTTACATGTTACTGAACTACAATTCCAAATATCTCTGGCTGGTGCTATGAGAAACCAGGATTCTTTATTCCTAGGTTATAATACCCCATACTTTAAATCTAAAAGTACAGTACTTCTAAATAGAATTATTTCTTTATTGACCAAGTGTGATTGGATACACACTTTCATACAGGTAGTCCTTGATTTATGATTGCAGTGGGGGACCAGAATTTCCATCGCTAAGCAAAGCGGTTGATTAAGTAAGTCATGCCTAATTATACGACCTTTTTTGCCATGGTTATTAAGCATACCACTGTGTTGTTCAGTGAATCATGCAGTTGTTAAGTGAATCTGGCTGGCCCCACTGGCTAGACTTGTCAAAAGTCGGCTGGGAAGGTTGCAGATAGCGAGACCTCGTGAATCTGGGACACTTCAACCGTTGTAAATACTTGCCGGTTGCCAAGCACCCAAATTTTGATCAGGTGATTCTAAGGGTGCTGCCACAGTTGTAAATATAAGGACTGCCTGTAAGTCACTTTTTTTTCAGTGCTGTTGTAACTTTGGTTGCTAAGGCTACCTACAATGACTTTCTCACTCTCCTTACAAGCAAAACATCTAGGCATTGACTATTATTCCCTCAATTGTTTCCTTCCATACAAAATGTTCCAGTTTAATAATGTGGACACAATTAAACCTCCTACATGTGAACTAGACACAGAGACAGCTTTAATCCAACAAGAATGGCACTGGAATTAGGAATACTTCTAGGCCAGAACCAGTCGGAACAAGAACAGATTAACCATATAGAACCAACAAAAGGCTTCGGTTAGAGGAATCCCAGCCAATTTTCTTCTTTCAAAAGAGGCACCAACATATAAGCAATTTTGGGCTGCAAAGCTGCTTTCAACAGGAGAGGGCTGTCTGCCTCAGTTCCCTGTTTGAATATTGGGGTAAGAAAAATCTTCCAACTATAAAAAAAATTGGGAAGTTTATTTAGATGCTGGATGTGAAATTCCAGCTAGCCAACTGTTTAGCTATTCTACTCCAGTTCTCCCAAAAGAGGATTCTTCAAAAAAAGAACCTGGCCAATGCAGTTTGTATTCAAGATAGAATAAACCAAATGTCAAGAAATTTAAAGGATTATTGGTTGGCTAAATTAATGTCCAATTTTAACAGGATTTCCTTAAAACATAAATATTTTCCCAGGCAATCTTTTATTGCTTGAGTTTTAGTTTCTATTTGTATCAGTTATGCTGAAAAATGTTGCTTATATATACCCTGTTATTTTATCTTTAAAACCCAACCAGACCTTTTAAGGAAAGAGGTGGCATGTAAATTCCCTAAATGAAATAAATCTGGCTCTTTTGCCTCCTACATTATGACCCATTTTTTCTAAAAAACATATACAACTGCCTTCTAAAATAAGAAAGTATATCTAGAGAAGAGAACCCAGTAAATTCCATAAATTAATTCTATTCATCTTGTAAAAGCAGATTGCATGAAAAAAATCCATTGTTTGGTCAGTCTAGAATTTGTCATCAATATATTTTATTAGGTGCATAGGATTAAAAACCCTCCTGGGAATTTTTTCCAAGTAGCTTGAACTTCATGGCCTATGGTTGTTGGCCTCAGTTTCAAACATTCTCCATGCTTGCAATTTCCCTTGCCAAAGCCAGCAATCATTTGAAAATCTTGGCATGTCAACTTGATTTCCACTTACCATATCGTCGGCTCGTCCGCCATGCTCGTACAGCGTAATGGAGCAATCCATCCATCCACACAAGAAACCAGCTTATACAGAATCCCAGCAAGAGTCCCAGCATCAGATCAATTTCTTGCTTGGTGACGTTGTCGGTCACAAAGTAGTTCTCGGAAGAATCAACCACTGACTGGTCTCCATCGTACGGGATGACATAATGAATGTGATGTCTAAGTGGTAGAATTAAGAAGAGACAGATGGATATGAGGGAAGAAGAGAACATGATGGTTGTGTGATCAGGAGAAACATTTGGCTTGCCATCCCTGGCAAATATCTTTCTGGATAACGGCTGTTTTTCCTAGCTGAGTATTCCCCTAACTGGAAACAAATATGAAACTACAGCAAACTGAGGATGGACACCACTATTGAAGGCATCCATTTGTTGAGGTTCCCCTTAATCCAGAAGAAAATCCTGCTTTGACCTTGACGTAGCTATGGGCTAAACCTTTGATTCAGGTGATCATATCAATTAAGTACATATCAATTAATACATTACTCAAGAAGAATCACAAGAGTCTTTGATCTGATGACTATTTTTCCATTGACGTTCAATGGGAGTGTCATGCCTCCATCGCCCATCACTTCAGAACATCCTGTGGTCAACCCAGAGCCGTGTCTTGCAGAGCTCTGGACAGCCAGATGTTTGCAAATTGACGATCCACCTGTTCTCTTGGACCGCAATTCCTATGCATGCTGGTTACAGGCCAAAATATTCAGACAGTTGAATGTATAATACTGGCAACAATGTTCAATTCAAACCAGTTTTTTTTTAAATGGCAACCATCAAAAAAATATTTGGAAGAGCTGAGAACTAAAACCTGATTTTGCATGGGGAACAGCCCAAATTCCTTTCTTTTTAGGATTTCAATAAAAGGGTTTTCTGGAGATTAAATATCACTCCAAATGTTTCTACTGCTCCACCACAATGAAGTTACCAACATGATTGACCCAGTGCCACTCCATCTGTATAAAACCCATCTCTAACCATCTCTAAAAAGCAACTGGAAGGTCAATGAAAGCTTGATTTGCCTCTAAAACTTAGAATTCAGACATTGGTTTGATTTGTACCACAGGTAGTCCTGGACTTACAACTGTGCATTTAATGACCGAGATTACAATGGCACTGAAAAAAGCGACTTATGACCGTTTTTTACACTTACAAACCTTTGCAACATCCCCATGGTCATGTGATCAAAATTCAGACACTGGGCAACTGATTCACATTTACGACGGTTGCAGTGTCCCGGGGTCACATGATCCCCTTTTGTGACCTTCTGACAGGCAAAGTCAATGGGGGAAGCCACTTAACAACCGTGTTATTTAAGAATTGCAGTGAGACACTTAATTGTGGCAAGAAAGGTCACAAAATGGTGTGAAGCTTGACAAGTGTCTCACTTAGCAACAGAAATCTTGGGCTCAATTATGGTCGTAAGTCGGAGAGTACCTGTTCTTCATTAACCAAGTGCAAATGTCATACAAGCCAGGCCTTGAGACTGTGTGAAAATATTTGTTCTTTACACTTCTCCTGTTTCTATCCTTTTGGAACTACAGTTCCAAAATTCCCATCCGGCTTGTGACACGGGAATTGAGGCAAGTTGAGCTTCTTGAAGTTTAGAAAATACATAGTTGCATTTTGTAAAAATAAAAAAAAAAAATATTGCATTAATATTTCATTCTCTAAGTAAGCCTAGCCATGCCTTCTCGTTTCTGGCCCTCTTGAGTTTCAAACATGAAACTTAGGGCAAAAGCTAAGACTATCTTATCTACCCCACTTTCAATTCCCTGTTTTCCCTGGAAAGGACAAACTGAATTTAGGAAGGCTGGAGTTAAAAAAAAAAAAAAAGGCAAGAAAGCAAAACAAATGGATTGCCCTCTCACAATCAAACTGACAATCTAAAACAGAGAAAGGAAAAACGGCCTTAAATTCATTCTCTAACTATTGAGACTTGGTCAAGGGGACACACAAGCCAGATCAAATTGCTTTCTTTCCGCTGTGGTGTGTGTACTTCAGTCACTTGTCACCATCCGATCCTCCCTTTTCCAATTTTCAGCAAATGACAGTATTTTAGGACAGTGTGAAACACATGCTGCTAATCTTAGCAATTTCAGAATGGCTTGCAAGATTCAAGCAGCCTTAGCGTCCATTCATTTGCAAATGGCAAGGAATCCTCTTACCTCGGTTATTCTAGCAAAGAGACCTATATATAAATATAGAAAAATCAAGAACTGATGTACACCCCATGGAAGGCCAATTTTCTTTTAGGAAAGATCTTTTGCCCTCTTTTGCTGCTACTTGCTGCTAGAACAGACCCTGAAAGATTTCAATCGTCAGAATTTATGTTTCTCTGGGAAAAAGAGAAACTCCAATAGATTCCAATGTTGCAGTCTAGTTCAATTTCCATCACGCCTTTTTTTCCCCATTCCTCCTCACCTTTTCAGCTCACAACAACCTTACAAATTAGGACCGCTGAGGGATAAACCCAGACCAAACTTGGAATCAGCTTTTTTTTTACAAAAAGCTGTTAATTTTCTCTGTCTTGTAGGGAATTAGGAGGTAAATAAGTGATTTTAACCTTGACGGTGGAAAACAGGACTTAAGAAGAAATAGTTGCTGGAACTGTTAGCCATCAGTGCACCCAAATACTAAATTGTCCTATTAGGTCATGTTTCCCAACCTTGGCAGCTTTAAGGTGAATGGACTTCAACTCCCAGAATTCCCCAGCCGGTCTTGGGGAATTCTGGGAGTTGAAGTCCATCCATCTTAAAGCTGGCGAGGTTGGAAAACATTGTATTTAGGTTTATCAACGGAGCAAAATGAGTCTCCTCTTGATTCCAACCACTCTTATGACTATTGAGCTTTGCTCTTCCAGTTCCTCTCAATTTTGCTCTTGTACATCTTGCAACCTGTCTGTGCATCTGCTTTAAGGCATAGTTTAACTGCCCCCCCTCCCCTCGGAACAAATCCCTAACAAAATGAGGCCTTGCTGGGGTTCCTGAATGCCACAAAACCCCAACACCCCTCGATTATGAGAAGGTAAAAATTGGAAGAATAAATCTCTTTTTCCCAACCTAACCATATCAATATACGTCTCTCAATGGGTTCACAAGAAAGCAGGTTCCCAGGTGCACTCACTGCACCTGGAAAGGGTTCTTCATGTCCACTTGGGGAGGGGAGAGCACCTGGTTTTGCAGACCTTGGTGAGGACAAGAAAAGGTTAAGGCTGCTGATGTTTCAGAGCCTCCATTTGCAAGGGCAGTCTACCTTGCAGCAGGTAGCAACCTCTTCAAGGCTTGGTTCCCTTGGAAACCAAACACAAAAGTGGTTTCCTCATCCAAACATCCTCATCTGGGTTAGAAAGTCCCTTAGCCTGCCTGCTTGGTTTTTGTTTCTGAAGTTGTGAGATAAATGGACGACTGTTTTGTCTCACCGAGAAGCACAAGGCCCCAGCTGACTTGTGGCCCACACAACAATTCAATGAGCAACTGAATGCTAGTTGAGCAAAACGGTTTCATGTCCCATGATCCAGGGACCATGCCAATTGCCAACCTACTTTCAGAAACAAACCTTGTTTACTGCAACAGGACCATCTCTGCTGGGGTTCCCAGGTGGACTAGAAACCTGCAGCAGAGATGGAGGAGCTGTTCTGTTGGATCAGTCAGGCTGAGGGACGCCTGGATTCGGATTTCTACGGGGGAGTTTCTTGGGGAGAAAACTTTCAAGCAAGGGCAACAGAGGGACAACATCCCTTCCTACCCATTTCCCCTCCAGGTTCCCTGCTACAAGGTAGACTGCTCTTGCAGATGTAGGCTCTCAAATGCCAACAGCCTACCTTCCTTATGCCTTGGTTTTGCTCGGAGTTCTTTTGAAAGCCACCCAAACTGCTGTTGTACTATGCAAACATTTGACATCACTGGCGGACATTTGCCACTAAACACACCCAAGCAATTGGCCAAATTCCCTTCCTTCCTTCCCCATCTTCCTTCCTCTCTTCCCCCACCCCCCCTTGATTTTTTCCCTCTTTCCTTCCTTCCTTCCCCATCTTCCTTCCTTCCCTCCTTCCTTCCTCCCTCTCTTGATCTTTTCCTTCCTTTCTTCCTTCCCTTCCTTTTCCTTCCCTCCCATTATTTTATAACTCTGACCTTCCTTGGAGGCCCGACGTACAATCAAAAGCCCAACAAATGCACCAGCAAAAAAAAAAAAAAACCTTCAAATTCAAGCTTAACCCCAACTGTCATTTGTACTTCACATCTGAGAGAGGGCTAAAAGTGGCATGCTCTCCCCTCCCCTCCCCTCCCCGAAAGTCCCCCTTGTCCCACCGCACCCCCACCTGCAAGACATAAATAGGCTAAAATGTAGGGTGGTTGTTTAAAAGTGCTTAAAATTGTTTCCGGTTTGAGCTTCTTTGGCGATAGACCAAAATCCGTGATCGTGCGCAGTTTTGATCTGTGCTCGCCACTGGAATGCCCCGAGCTGGCTGGTTTCGGGGCTAAGCCACCCCGTAGAGGTGGTGAAGAGGGGGGAGACCACCAGCAGGGTCGAGGAGAGTCGCATCTCTCCTTCCCAGCTGGCCATTACTCCCTTTCCCGAAGATGGTTGCAGCGGTGGTCAGAAATGGCCACCTCAAAGAAGAACTCGACCAGAAAAGAATGTGCAGGAGGAAGATAAGAAGAGAAAGTTTTGGCTGACTGGGTCAAACAAAAAGCAACAATATAAGGTATCCTGGAATTTGAATTAAAAAGAATAACATTGCTCCCAAAGAAGACTTTGAAGCGGCGAATGAGAGAGGGAAGGGAAAGGATTTGGTTTTTTTTCTTTTCTTCCCTATATTGACAACTAAGAGATTTAAGCAAGAAACTGGCAAAAATCCACTTTGACATTAACAGGTATTTAAGCTGAAAATAAAATGTCAAGGGGATAATAAAGATTTCTGGATTCTCAAAATCTTTTAAAAGAAGGAAAAAAACAAAAGGGTGGGATCTGGAAAAATGGAGCAGACCACCTGGAAATGAAAGGAATTAACAGTGAAACTTTAACAAGATTCCTAAAAGATACATTTTAACTGAAACTTTGTAACAAGATAATAAAACCCCAGGAAGAGAAAATGGAAAAAAGAAGCAAGAAGAAACAGCTTTGGATTATTTGGATTACTTGGTGATTTTTGGATTTTTGGCTATCAGATCTAAAGGACTAAAATTAATCGGGTGGTTGTTTAAAAGTTTTTAAAATGGTATCCCTCTTGGAAGAATTGAGAATAGAACTTAAAAAAACAGAAAGAAGATGCACAAGAAGGAAGAGGTTCTTTTGGCTTTGTATTTCAATTTTTAGAAATGGAGATCCTAAACTATGAGAAACAACAAAAAATGCCTGTAGAACAAGAAGGGCGGGAAAAAGAAGAAGCCATCTTCAATGTCCAAATATTTCTATGTGGGGAAAAGAAAGGAAAGGGGGGAAAGAGAGTGAAAAAATTAAGATTTGACAAAACAACCCCCAAAAAGAATAGTTTGAAAAGTAATTACAACATTAGGAAGAAACAGAAGAGACGATTACAGAATAGAGAATCAGAATTAGAGAGAGGGGGGGTCAAAAAGGGAAGGGAGAAGAAGAGAGGGAAGAGGGAAAGGAAAAGAAATTATAAAGGACAGAAACAGGACATAGAGAAACAGGGAAAATATATGAAGATTAAGGGTATAATCCTATTTAGAAGACACAGAGATAATGGCTGAAAATTTAATTGAAAAGGGGATTCTGCAAGGGTACATAAGATAGTATTGTTATATTAGAAATAGAAATGAACCTTGAAAATATGAAACAAGTGTGATTAAAATGATAGACAAAATGCTCATTGTAATGTAGTGGAATGTTTAATAAATAAATGAAATAAAGAGAATGAGAGAATGGAATGAGGAAAGGAGGGGAACATTTTAATTATCATTAATGTGTTATAAAAATTTAAGTGAAGAGGAATATGAAAGAAATGTGAAAAAAATATGGAAATATTATAAGTGTTTCTAGAATTATGATATC